GCTTTTCTATACCAATATTTTTTTACTTTTTTATAGCAAAATTACAATATCACCTACTTCAACATATTCGCATTACAATTAAAAACCCCTAATATATATACACCTAATTTAACAAATAAGCTAAAACCTCTTTATATACAATGGCACTTTAAACCATAGTTAAACTCGCGTTTAATTATAGCAACCGTTTGTTTTATTTTTCATTTTGTCGGTCGGACGAATTTATAGCCAATCAGTCTGACATGTCCGGGAAATTTTAATACCTAACATAAACTCGTTTGCTGCGAATGACAAACAAACGGACAAGAGGACTTAAATGACATTGTATATAAATGAATATACCAATAATTGACATACCTATACTTTTCAATAAAATAATAGATTCTGTGTAAATAGAAACAATTAAGCCTCTTTATATGAATAATTAGATACCCATCTGTTTTCATTAATGTAGACAGATAATTGTAGAAACAATAGGTACATACAATACAGCTAATTAAGTATGTTTCCATAAAGAAAAAAATCTAGCCTACTATTACCTCGTTGACCATATAGCTTGTTATAACAAGGTTAGTTTTTCTTCGAGTTTTCCTTCTATAGCACCGATAGACCCAATTAGATTTCTTGCCTAAGTCACCGCTTACGACACCCTAGGATGAAATGGATTAGTGACAAATTGTATTCTTACTCTGTAATTATACTCCTGTTGTTACAATTATAGCATACTTTACGAAGTGTCACATACCAAGGAATATATTAGTTTCGTACTTAGTAGTGAAAACGAATTTGGAAGCGCTATCAATGATCATCCACATAAGCACACACGTCGCAATCACTCCTCTGAACGCAAAAAAAAGCACTTGTACAATAAGACGTAAGTTTATAACTATAGTTTCAAAATCATTTTTCTATGGTAATAAAGAAAATACGTAGTGTTGCTATTCCAACTAATGAAATCTTGTAAATATAAGCAGTAAACAGACAAACAGGTCGACGACGAACTTAAAACAGAAAGGACCGCAACTCGGAGTCTTATTCAATCTACGTCGCAAGGAAGAAACAAGAGAACAACAGTAATACCTTTAAAACTTTTAAGGCAAAAACTAAGACGCTATTTTCTCAGCGGGGCCACTGTAATGGTCCGCTGAAATGTTTATAGCGCCGGCTTCGCGTCCTGCGAGCGGGAACAGATCTCAGATCGCAATAAATCGTACCGGGCACCGAGATTTATTCTTTGATTAGCGTCTCTATTCGCCGAATACGTACTGTAAATGTACACAAAACTATAAATAAACATGGAAAGAATTCGCGAAAAAGCTGGGGGCCTGTGCCTTGATAAATAAAAAAATCGACAATCCAATTAAACTTATACTGTATATTAGACATGGACTAAATATATCTAAGTATTTATATCAGTTGTCGAGTATCGAAGACATAAGCTCTGCTTAACTTAGGACTAGATGGCGCTATGTGAATTGACCAGAATTATTGTAATATATATGTATAAGCGAAGCTTGTATTATGGGTACTAGATAAAACATAGATTTTTTTGTTATACATATGAAAGCGTCGAGATTATGCTCATGTGGTGAAGGTCGCATTGAACATAAGCTATGTCAGAAGAGAAGGTCGTCAGAAGATAAAATACTAAGAAGACCAATCGAAACCAACTGCATATTGCGTACCTACTGCTACACCGACCACGGCAATGTACCTGTCCCGCCAGCAAAAAAATAATATAATAGAAACACCTATACCGATATAAACAATCATACTCATGACTTTACTTATTATTACTTTACATACTTAGGTAATACTGGCTCTACACGCACAACGGCCCGAAAGAGAGGCCAATTGCGGAAAATGGAGTCCAACCTACATCTACATCTACATACTTAATACTTTAGCAAGGAATCGAAACATGGGAATCACATGGGCATGGCAAGTATATCGGTGTGCTAAACCACCAAGGCAGTCTGTATGTATAGATATAAACTGTTATGATCGTAGTATAATTTTGTTGCAAAGACTGATCTGAGAGCCATCAATATGATGCTACAATGTGTACAAGTATTTTAAACCTGTACACAATCAAGAATATGTAATTTGTAAACGTAGAAGATGCGAAGAAATCTGATTAAATCGGAGCACTTAGATTTCTATTGTATCTATCTACTCCAATAGTATACAGGCGTAACGAATTGGATGCAAGAACTTACTCAATCTAAAAAAAGATAATGATAACAAGTCTACATAAATCTAAATTAAATGCAAACTTGTTAAACTATAAATACTTACTTACCAAAATTCAACTCCGCTATCCACTGAAATCCGCCTCAACTATGTTAGCGTAATATTTCACTTATATGAATACATAACCTTCTAAATGCATTAAATTGCTTACTTCGCAAATGCATTTTCCTTCATATTATTTTAAATAGATATATATGTACCTACAATACAATACAAATAGATACCTATATATATCTATATACATAGAGTATAAACGAAGGTTGTCAAATTATCAAATTTGCAATTCGCGATGAAATCGAACGAAACGAATCCATGTATGATAATTTTTAAATAAAATGTTTCTTTACATTTTCTGTATCATTATAAAATTTTCCGTATCAATAATAGGTAAACTGGTAGTGTATTTACCCATCTACTATACCTACCTACTTACAAAATTAAGAAATATCGAGCAGTATAGAAACAAAGAAAACCTTTGAAAAGGATTGATATATGTATAAATATATTTAATAGCATACCAACCAATGCGTAGCTTTAAAACACGTGCCTACCCTAACCCAGGAAAAAGGAAAGTCGGACTAGAAATTAATATCGTTCACAGAATTCTAAATGTGGCATTTTTTCGGCACCGTCAGATTAGGGTTCCGTTACAATAAACAATTTATTTTGATATTATCGGAATAAACGTACCATTTTGAATAGAGTCTTTAAGAATTAGTCTTCTAACTAACTGAGACTCACTTACAAATATGCTAATTGTCGAATAACTTCTTACAATGTAGATACAAATAATAATTTCCTAAAATTGTCAAGATAAACAATAGCCTAGTTTCAACTAAAAATAAATCGAATGAATAGGAGCGGCTAATAAATAATTAATAATACGTTTTCGGATATTAAATCAGCTTAAATTGTACTTTACTTATTAATATTTTTTACGTGCATAAGTTATATAAAATGAATATAAAAAATACTGTTAGAATTGGGTATTTGACACTATTAAAAATATGCTACGAAATGTGGTCATCCTATTAGGAAATAACATAAAAAACTTATTGATCTCTGTTTTATCCAAAAATATTTATAGATTTTTCGAAATAAACAAAATAATCTCAATTATTTTTTTTAATTTCTTCAGCCACGAGAACGCTCTGTGATTAGTTACGCCTCACGTGACGTAACACACTTGTAAACTTTGTATATTAATATACACTTTGTGTGATTATATAGTATTTCCATCGTTTCTTGTGCTATTTTCACAAGAATTTCATAATATTCCGCAAGACTCTAATATCTAGTGATATAAACAATAGTGTTTGCTCTCAAAATTGACGAGAATTTTGTATAAGCCTTAATAAGAATTTTGTAAGAAATGTACCTAGGACTAATGCATTTGTAGTTGCACTTTTCTTTATAAATAATGTGTACTGAGCATAAAGTCAAGCAAACCATATAATATTACAGTGATGGTTAACGAAAGTGACGGTAAAATCATTAGCTATAAATGCCATGTTTGTGCAGCTTCGGCAGGTGTATGCATGCAGTGCAACTGCATGCTTACATTCACCTGCCTAAATTAATTAAAATAAGTGTATATTTCGGTACATTAGTCTACTAACTTATGACGTCACGCAGATCATATAATGTCCGCCATTACAGAGACAGCGTTTTTAGCGCGAATATTGTAATTTAAATTTTCAAACAATATTTTACGGAAAATACCACAAATTTCGCAAATGGTGTATTAATTATATACCAACGAATAGATTTAAAACAATTTTCCAAAGACAGTCTAATAGCCTAGGCCTAATTTTTAGGGCGTAAAAAATAAGTTGATAAACGAGAACAATATCACCATAAAAAAATGGCGTGTCCCACGCTTTCTTCAGGGACTATTAAGTGAGCTGTGAACATTTTTCGCACTTCATGCAGACATGGATGTATGGGTACAGTTCCCTTTGTCTTTCTATTAAAGGATAAACATAACCAAAAAAGATAATAAATAAACATACATAAGAATTGGCCTTTGGCCTCATCACTTGTACAAATATGAAGAAGTTTAAAAGTAGACTAGGCTGTACGCTCTAAGGATCTTTGCCTGTTCCATCACTGAAAAGGAGATGGACGAATATGGGAAAAAAAAAACATAACCTAAAAAACTAAAGAAAACTATAGTCGTATTTTTAATTAGACGAAGCTAACTGACAGTAACTAATGTCACTTTGTGAAATAATGTTGCCATATTTAAAGTAACAGTGATGCGTTCAGTTCTCTGCCAGACGAATGAACAATGAGTGTGAATAGTTAATCATTTCAAATTACAAAAGAATATTATTCCTATTTTACAATAAAATTGTATAAAAGTCCATTTTGTTCGTAATTCGGCTTCTAACCTCTGGTCTGAGAGCGCGAATGTTTTTCTTTGCGCTCACGCTGTTTTGTTATTGTTTTTGTTAAGTTTTTCCTTATGTTGTGTTTGTGGTAATTGTTGGGTATATTGTATATTTGCTATATTGTTTCGTATAAACAATATGGATTCTCAAACAAACACGTCAAGCCAAAGCTTGTCTTCGAGAAAAAAGAGACCACGGATTGCTTTAAGCGTTACCGAAAAACTTATGATACAAAACGTCTACAAACACGTATTTGAGGAGAAAGCTGCTTCACTATTACCTATTGAGGCTCCTGAAAAAAAATAATGTATTTCGAAAACAGCTGATATTTTGGGAATTGGTGTGAACTCTACTATGAATTAAAAGAATACAAAGAAAATGGACAATTAAGTCTCCGGAAAAACGTGGAAACACTGTTTCTAAGATAAATTATTGACAATTTTTCAGAGAGATTTATAATTAATGTCACTGAAACCGACAATGATTTTTTTATCTGATGATGAATAAAAACAAATTTTGTAATAAGCGAAGTTTTTTATTTTTATTACCTAACCATATTATGTTATATATTGTTATATTTTATACATCTATAGTTTATTTACATATTTACATTTTACATGATGTATTGTAAATAGGACAGTCTTAAAAGTTTCGTCGCAATTTTTTTCTCCATGTTTAAAATACTCGGTATTGAGTATAGGTAGATACTATAGGAACATAGTAGTCGAAAACTCGTTGGTATGCATAAAGCACGGCTAAAATTCGAACCCCTTACCCGATATCGGCAGTTCGGCACACTAACTATTCACTAGACTAGACAATCGAGACAGTTCCATTAATTCAGGAGTTTTTTCAATTATTCACTTTGTCCCAACACTATTTTTATTTCATCAAATACTGACAACACAGTAAACGTCAGTCGTCTAATTAAAAATAGAACTATAATGTCAAAAAAAATAATGTTAATTATTTTATTAATTAATATTTGATATCTCTTTATTTTTTTGTTATCGTCATCTAATCTTACTCAGTTATTCTTATCTAGTATTCTCATTATTTATTCTACAGTTTATACTTTTTCATACAGAACATTTTATTCTTTTTATTGTGACTTGTACATGTATGTACCTAATAGTTAATTTTGCTGAAATATATCAATTACACCATTGAACGTCATGGAGCTTTCTGATCGGTTCGGTATGTTTTAAAAAAAACTATTTCATTTGAAAAATATTATTTATCAATCTGAAGTAGTTGGTTATTTATTAACAGTTTTTTTTATTTGTAGATCCATCTATATTAAGGAATGTTTACATTAATAAAAACAGCGTAGATTCGCAAGTAAAACAAATAATAAGGAACACCCCAGTTGCATACGACATGGAATGGTTACTCAAAGCTGTGACCGTTATAGATCTAACCACACTCTCTGGAGATGACACTAAATCCAATGTTAGAAGACTATGCCTCAAGGTATGTCTGCAAGTACCTACCATCTGAAAAGAACCAGCTCAAAATTTAATGTCATTGGTGAAAGTTAAATATAAATTTCATATCTTATTTATTGATTATATATTGATATATTGAGATTGTACATACATTGTAACAATTTATTTTGCAGGCGGCAAAACCACTACCTGACGCATTACTTAAAAAATTAGAAGTTGAAGACCAGATTTTAAGAACAGCAGCAGTTTGTGTATATCCCAGTCGAATAAAAGATGCTTATTCAACTATCCACCATATGGGTCTCTCAAAGGAGATCTTGATTGCTTCTGGTACATACATATCTTTAATAAGTTAAGGAATGACACAATTACCTGAAATACTTGGCCACATTCTAAACATCATGTTTATTTATTAATAAATCTGATTAAAATAATTAAAACAATTTTTTTATATAACAAAAAAGCATGACAAGAATAATTTTAACTATAGTGTGGTTCTTGAATTATCTTCAACTGGTATTCAGAACTATGTGGCATAATTGCTACTATCCTAAGTTGATACACAGAAGTCCTAAATGAAATTAATTTAAATGAAACTGTACCATGATTATTATAAGATTTAAAGGTTAAAAACCTTTAAATCTTAACGGAAAATACATTACTTTTTAAAATTTGGACTTTCCAAAGACAATTGTTTTTTTATTGTAATTAGAAAGGCAAACAAGCTGTAAGTGACCTGGTGGTAAGACTGTGCATTGCTTACATGTATGATCAGAAACTACTGGCATCAGTTTATCATGTGCCACCCATAATAACACATATATGTTGCCATTTCGGAGGACATAATATGTTATGAGCCATGTTAACTTGAAATTTCACTTCCTAATCACACCCTACAACTGAAATGGGTTATAAGACATGCTGAGAGGTAGATACCATGAAGAAGACTTTCTATTGACTACCGTGGGATAATATTAATTACCATTTGCAGTTGCAACAGGATTCCCATCTGGCCTCTACCCAATAGATTCAAGACTAGATGAAATAAAAGCTGCTATTTCCAATGGAGCCACAGAAATAGATATAGTAGTTGATCGCAGTTTAATACTTACGGGAGAATGGGAAACATTGTTTGATGAACTGCAGCTCATGAAAACGGCATGTGGAAATGCACATATGAAAGTCATTCTTGGAGTTGGCGAACTTGGATGTTATGAAAATGTAAGTGTAATTTTATGTTCAGTTCCAATATTTATATATGATTATTGATTTTTTTACTTTTTTAATGTCAGATAATATAATTATAATTATAGACACCCAGAACAATTCACACATCTGTGTGTCAGTCACAAAACCAAAAGACCTTTGATATGGGTGCTGAATAACTGATAAAAATACTTAAATTTTTGCTTATTAAATACATACATATTACTTAAATAACACATGACAATACAAATGTGTTTATGTTCATCCAACTGTATGATGTGACTCAAATTATTAGGTACTGGCCAGACAATTCCTGCCGACCACGCCATTCGATTGGCACATTTTCAAAGGATTCTTAAAAGACATTGTCAGCTTGAGCCATCCGATTCTTACGGGAAATGTTTCTCCAGTGTTAATAAGAAGGCCCTTTTAAGTCATCGTATATTAACAACCCTCATCCTCCCTGTGATGATATAGTATACATGCTATAATACCTAAGCTAGTTAATTACTGTTATTTAAATACGGTGTTTCATTATTCAATTGTTACACAGGTATACAAAGCTTCTATGGTGGCAATGTATGCTGGAGCTGATTTTATAAAGACGTCTACAGGAAAAGAGACAGTGAACGCCACTCTTCCAGTTGGGCTCATAATGTGTCGCGCTATTCGTCACTTTTACCAACAAACTCGTATTAAGGTATATAATAGTCCCCTCCGATCGATACCCATCCAATTCAATCGGGCATCGAAATGAAGCCGGACGGACGACGCTCCGAACCAAGGTTCGGACCCCCTACCAGTGCCCTCAGACTAAAGTCGTATTCGTCAGGCAAAAGTTGGCCTTTAGCCGCTCCATAAGTCTTTCTGCGTGTTTGTAGTGGCATCTGCGCTCGCTCCCTATCGTCCGGTGAAGCTAGTAAAGGCCAACAGCGTTAGAGTATTCAGCAAATATAGGTAGGTATTTAACCTACTGGAATGGGTATATTGTCTTAAAAGTCCGAAACTTCGTGTAAAGACGTAATGAAATCTCTGACCCCTTCACTTAGGACATCACATTTGTACGTGACCAGCTGTGACGAGGTATGTAATGTAATACCAAGATATAAAGGATTGATAATCAGTATAAGTCAGCATATCAGTATAATTATTTTCGTAATATATAAATTTGTTATATCACATTAAATTATATTAAATTCCCGATATTAGAAAACTATTATGTTTATCGGGCAGTCTTTATGTGTAATCCATCAATGAAACTACAGTATTTTTGTAATATTTGACAGTTTATGATATTTTGTACAGGTGGGACTTAAGGCAGCCGGTGGAATAAAAACGGCCGAGGATGCTATCAATTGGCTCGTCTTGGTATACAATGAATTGGGTGCAGAATGGCTCACTCCAAAATTATTTCGTATTGGCGCCTCTAGTCTGGTCGATAATATCGAAAACTATTTTCTTAATGAAATATGGAAATGGTAAATAATCTATAATGTATATATCATGGCCAAATTATATAATATTTTATCTATTGTCATAAAGTAGTAAACTAATTCTTAAAAGGACAAAGGGATATAACTTTAGTTTTATAAGGAATGTGCCTTATTATATAGAAATTCGTTACTATTTTTTTATATTTTATAATGTTTGAAAATTTATATACACCATTTTTATAAATGTATAAATAATGGGATACATACATATTACATTAAGGTCAAAATATTAGTTTCGTCTTTAATAAATTTAAGTGATCCCGAAATCACTTAAATTTGTATTTTTTGTGTTATTCATTATTAACAGAGGTCATATATATAGGACTACGAAAGCGTAATTTAAATAAAAAATATCAGAATGACTAACAACAGTACGCATATTTCTATGGAATTAATGACATTGCACATACATTCCTTGTAGAGAACATGGGTAGGAATTTACGAAAAAAAATACATAAGGTATTAAGAAAATGTACTGATGAAACGTTTCTTTGCTGTAAGTTATAGTCATTATGCATATCAAATATTCAAAATTCAAATTACGTGTTAGACGAAACGCCATTATATGAAGACTGAAAGGACATCTGTTATTATTGTACTTTGATAAAGATTAATGCTAAATTAGCTGAATAGCAAATAAGATATTCAGCTGATTGTTATGTTCATATAATATTAGAGATCGCAAATATTATAATGCCTATGCTGCGTTTTGTATTAGACTAGAAGCATGATATTGTTTCATCATTAATTTATCAATCTATTGACGTAGGTACTTACGACGACTTCTATACTGTTATTTTAATATTATAATGTACAGTAAAATATAAAACTTATATTTTGAATAGGTCAGTCAACAATGCACAGGCAAGTTTTAACCAAATCCATAGACAATATGATGCATAGCGTTACGGTAAACTCTGTGCAATGTCGTCTGCGTCAGTACCTAAGTCTCACATCGGTAAATAAAAACCTCACGGTTCTAATAAGGTTTGATTTTAAATGAAGAGTAACGAAACTTTTATTTACTTTAGCATTCTGTGGAAGACCGTTAAAAGCAAAATCAACTTGGTAACGCGTTCTACATTTTGTACAACGCCATCTAGTGTGCCCTAAGTAACAAACGAAGTCGTCTATTATATTTTAAAAATGAATATTCGTAAAAGTAAACCTAAAATTATAATTTACCAATTACATAAAAGAATCACGTATGGGTTGACTGTTTGTTTCTAATAATTATTGATGTGACACATGTAATGTGGCGGGACTGTGTGTCTCCATGGTATATGGTATAATCTTTCTTTTTTTAATGGCACGATGGTGACAGTCAAGCATATGCCCAAAAAACCAAATTTCATGTTGATTTTTTTTTTAATTTCTAAATTTATTATTTTTATTAATTAAGAAGACAAATATTGTATCCAATATTATAATTATTCCAAAAAATTGTTAATACGTTTTTATTTTATACGGGTAATAAATATGCGTGTTGCATTAAAAAATCGTTTGTGTATTTTATTAATAAATTTATTTTTCTTTGTATACAAGTTATAAATTACACTTATTGAACTTAGTATGACACTTAATTTTAACTGTATTTAATTACTTTACGTAACCACATTTTGGTGCAAATTTTCTCCTATTATTCTATATTTTTATTTCTATTTCTATGAATTACGAATTACCCAAGTCGTAATTCTTATCCAATTATATTATATTCTTTTCAATATATAGGTACTTAAACTATATATTGATACATTATATATATAGCCGCTGCTGTCAACTGTATGTAAAAATCACTTAAAACGCAAACTTATACTAAACTTCTACACATTCACATTAATTTTCATCATTGTCTCGTAAATTAATTTACAGCATACAATACTGATTATTTTTGTTAAAAACGTGTTACTGTTTTTGCAAGCAATATATTTACAAAAAATGCTATTAATACTTATGTACAGTTGTTTCATCGGAGCACGATATTTATATACAATAAAAGCAATGCAATGTCCATAAAAAGTATTCACTTAACTGCATTTTCAACAGACCTCAACAAAAGGAAGAGATTCTTAACTCGGCTGTATTTTTCTGTATTACCTCTGATCTTTTTGTACTCGAACCGATTTTAATTATTCTTTCTTAAGATCAAGATATCACCAGTAGGTTTTTTTTAATTATCCTTAACAATACAATTGAAGTCCATTTTGTCATAGATTGAACACGCGTATTATTAACTCCATCACTCCTTTTCTACGGGTGCGTCAGCCTGGAAACCGTGTTCCGGGTGAGCCCTGTAATTGACTACACGAAGTTTTCCGCGTTTATCCATATATCCGTAGTGGCCCTTCACGATTCCATCATTGTCTCGTTCCTCGTATCGGAATTGACGATTCTTTCTGTAATCGATAAAAAAAGTAAGTTTATAAGAACACAATGTTTGAATATTTTGTCATAACTTCCAAAGGTTTTTATAGTTTTTACTTTTATATTCGAGTGTAGTTGTAAAAATATAATGTAAATTAATTAATTTCATTGTTTTCTTTTATAAATCGGATTATATTTGCATTGCAGTTAACTCTTAAATCGTCTGCGTTCTCTACCTTAGGCCGCCAATTTCAGCCACCAAGTAACTTGCTTCGTTAACTGTGTTTCGAGAATAACATGCAGATTGGGCAGTGAAATTACAAGATAATGGTATGACATCTTAGTCATCTGAAATGACAACGCATGAGTTGGTATCACGGGTATGACGTTACGTCCGTGGTGCTGTTCATGTAGTATACGCTACAGTTATCTCATACCATCTTTTTTATTTTAAGTGGAAATGTGTATCTACCTATAATCATTTGTAGCTCTATATCCATAATATCTGTACAGGCCTTAAACAAACATCATTTCATTCAAACAATTTCAAGAACGCACCCTTTCCCCGTGTCATATCCAAACTGGTAGCTATGCGGTCCCTTCATGCCGTGCATGCGGAATTCTGTTCGATCGTCAGAAGCCGGAGGCGCGTTGGGGTCATTCTGGGGTACCGGCGGTGGCGCCTGCCTCAGTGGTGCAGGATATATGTTCCCTAGAAATTATATTTATTGGAGTTTGTATAGAGAATTTGGCAATTAAAATATTTTTAGCATACAAAGCCAATAAATAGCCCGAAAATATTTTTAGCATACAACGCCAATAAATAGCGGTGTATCCAAATTATATCGAGCTATATTTTTTATTATAAATAAACTCATACATTTTTCGTCATTATATTTGGTACCTAAATTGAAACCGATCAATAAACTCTATTTACGAATAATATTTTATATTATGTTATCTGTGGTTTCTGTTTATGTTTTACGATTTATTTTTTACCACCTAAAACATGTTCCGGTTAGATGACGATCTAACCGGAACGTGTTTTATGTAACAATATTACATTGTAACGGTAAACATTAAAATAAATTTAAAACTAAAATAGATATATTAATTAATATATTAATACGTGAAGCAAAAACAACCTTAATAATGTTCAAACTTATAATTAAGTTCACTTTGTTCGAAATTCGACCAGTGGGCGACCACTAGTAGGTTTCATTAATATGATAAAATGATTATTATCAAAAAATTACTAAGGTTCTTTTAAATTTCACAAATGATAAGTTGGTTATTTCTTTTGATAATGGGTTATATATGCATCATTAGTTTCCATGGTAGTGCTTGCTTAAAAGACTGTCATTTTTATGATATGTATATGGGTAGATATTGACATATATTGTGTATTATTATGTACCTATATATTTAATTATTTAGCTTAATAACATGTTGTTTTGCATTGTTATTTTTCCGATGTGTTTTTTATTTCTTACTGTGTTGTCGTTATTATTTTCATTTTATTTATTTAATTACATTTTTCCTTAACCACAATATTGAAACAATGCATAATGTTGACATATATTATGTAGGAACATCTTAAGTTGGTACATTAATGTAGGCAACGTTTTATGCACAATTGTAATGATTGTTGATGAAGTAACTAGCGGTACCTACCTATCTACAATAGAACGAAACTACGAAACGAAAACAATAGAACGAAACTACTACCGTTCTGATCTAAAAATTCTTAAAAATGTAAGTAGATGTATTTAACATTGTATATATTGTGATTAGATACGTTTAAAATGTACAGTCAAAACTAAGAATCTCAAATAAGGTAAAATATCGATAGTAAACGTAAAAAATTATTAGGTAACTAAATTATACATAACCAAATAGCAAAAACTGTCATAATATAGCATTTTTGTGTCACATACGTTCTGGATATCTGTGGTGAGTTTCAGAAGTTTCTGGCTCTGCAGGTCCTGTTTCACCATATGTGTCCGCCACAACCGGCTGATGTTCCTGAAACGATGCAAATGATCAAGTTAAAAGTTTTTCCTGCATTTCTGCAATGAAATGCAGTTATAGTACTTATTATGACATATCGTGACAAATTACTTGGATGGTTCACTTGTGTGATGATATAAAATGGCAGACCACATAGTTATTCACTTTAGTACAAACTGGCTTGTATTGCAAAATAAGTGTATAAATTTTACTACTAGTATTGTACAATGAATGTTCCATTAATTCCAATACAATTTGTATGTGTGGTTGTAGGTACTTATTTGTTTTAGATAACTATAAATTAGGGTTTTTTAAAAAAAAACTATTTTGTAAGTTCTAATGTACCTACAAATGTCAAATCTTGCCATTAAAAGTTAATGTAATATATACGTACATTATCATTAGTAACTTCTTCATTTTTCAATTGTCTCTTCAACTCCGCTTGTTCGTACAAGAATCTCTTTTTCTCCTCAGGATTTCCATAATCGTATATTCCTTCTTCATTTGCTATTGTCGCTGGTCGAAAAGGCTGTGCTGGCTTAGCTCTAGGTACTTCTACCAAACTGTCTTCGGAGAATTGTATTATTGGAATTGGAACCGGTTTGAAAGTCCCAGGAAACTTCTTTGGGTATAGTTTAGTTGGGTTTTTATATTTCGCAATTGCTGGCTTCGGTGGAACTAGATGCGAAACTAATGTCGGATTTTCATGTTTAATCCTCAAAATAATATTTTCATTGTTCACAATAATGGGGTTTACCTGTTTCGTGTCTTTGATTCGTGAGTAGTCTGGGACGAACTGCTGATTTATTTGTTCCACAGGCAACTGCAAAATATCCGAAGGAGTTGATATCGTATATTCATTAGGAGCATTTATTAATGGAGGTTCTAATCGATCTGATGGTACTGGTACGGCTGAATGTTCTAGAATGAGAGCTTTCGCTGTTCTTAGTTTCTGTTTTACAGGAAAATTTTTAGACTCGCTACTGTCAGCCAGAAAAATTGGAATCATACCACGTTCTGGCCTCTGAGACAACAATTTGCTAGATATGCTCTGTGGTTGTACGTGTATTGGGTACCAATCACTTTGTTCTCCAGGTTCTGTAGGAGTATAATAATAATCTGTTGCTTTCTCTGCCGATGGAGGTAGAAGATACGTCGCTGGTGTTACTATATCTGTCAGTACTTCCCCCGGCTTATGTGGATCTGGAGGTATAAGATAACTGTCCAAATTGTCTTCACCTGAAGAGGCGTAAACAGGACTCTCAGGTGTTGCGTTGGTGTTCACTATTGATAATTCTGTAGCATTCTCATAATTATAATCAACAGGTACTTTTATTGCATCACCATAAATTATTACAGACACAATCTGGAACAATAAAACAACTATTATTCGTTGTTATTTTAAACGATACACATGATTAACTTCTGATCGATGTCTACAATAAAAAGTTTAATAAGTTGAATTACCCAACGCCTAAAATAAACCAGTAGGTAACGACAAACATCCATCACAATTTAATTTTTTATCGGACAAAATCACGTAATCTATTATTACCCAAAAACTGTGTCACAATTATAGAAAAATGTGTGACAAAAAGAAATAGAATGCAGTATTAGAGCAACCGCGTCGGCTATTAAATACTTGCATAGGTATCATGTTTTGTATTTGTTTGGACTTGAAATTCTCTTACCCACTTGACTACTATGGGTAGTTAGATAAATATATAGATTGGTTGATTGATAGAAAATTATAACTTTAATGTCAAGTTTATATTTGAATGAATAACAGTGTTGAAAGGTATAATCTATATGGACAATTCATTCATTCACTAGTTTTATGAAATTACGAGTATATATTAGTATTACTAAAATGTCTGTCTGTTTGTTACCTTTCTCAACTAATCGAGTAAACAATAGACGAACTCGCAGGCAGCAGCTAGTTTATAAATAAATGAACCTACCTACTACGTACTTACATACCTAAAGATACTCCTGAGATGACATTGTTCATATATTTTTTATTTATTTTTATTTTTAGTGGATTGACCTACCGTACACCTGCACGCATGCATTCCAGAATACATAGCGTTTTAAACTGACACCTACTAACCATTAAAACTGTGCACTAACAGATACGATAGGATATAAATGATTAAAATCCAGTAAAACAGAAGTTGTATATAAAACATTTTTTTATAATCATTTTAATCATATTGGTGGTCAGTTATTTTATAATCATTAGGTAGTTTATTTCTCTTGACACTACTCGGTACACTATTCATATCTATATTCATAATAAATGTTACATAATTAGAATCACAGAACAGAAAAATTAGAATACTTAGTTGCAGTTTTAGAAGTACACATATGTATTCTGAGTACTTTGCGTCTACATTAATCTGTATCCATTTATAATTTATAGATATCTATGTCCTATATGTATACAAATGTAAAACAATTTTTTGTAGAGTCTTATACTGGAAACTAATCGATATTATGTGTATGTAACCTATACCTAGTGTAAACATAGAGTCAAATAATTATTTTGTAACATATGAACTGGTTAATAAAGCATAGCAAATTATTTATTGTACCTGTACCTAAGTATCTACGTGATGAAATATAGATTACGTCATTAATTTGTTTTTGCTTCGACAAGCAACTTGCCTATGTCCGTGTAAAAAGAAAATAAATTAGAACTATATATACCTATCTATTCCAATCTATTAAGTATAAGTAACTCGATGCTTACGAATGCTAATAAAAACTCGAGTGCCAAAAAAGGAGAGCAATGTTTTCGTTTGTATGTCCGGAACTGCCTCAAACGTTTAGCCTAAATGACTTGAAATATTTTAATGAAAGAGCTGTTTTTTTATTCTACTCGTTATTTTTTGGTGAGTGTCATATATTGTCATCTACATATTAACGAGCAAAAGGAGCATAGTGTTTGTGTATTTTAGGACCTCCAATTTAAATATCTTAAATTTATTACATATCAACCGATTGCAATAATCTTTTATTAGAAAAAGATTTTTGCGAGGGCGATCCGCTTATATATCTACTGATCAAAATTTAAGAATGTCATCACTAAAAGATACTGCGTCAGCGTGACAGTCCTGAGGGCAAAGTATGCCTTCACATATGCTTAAGACAAGTTTATATATTGCATTAATATGAGAAATCCAATCCAAAACGTAAGTAGGGATTAAAAGCAATTCAACGAATTTGCACATTATCGTGATAGTGGCAGTTGTACTCGTAACTGTGATAAATATCTAATGTTGATACAATAGTATCAAACAAAGTCCCCGCCGCTGTCTGTTCCTTATATCTTTTAAATTGCGCAACGGATTTTAATGGAGTTTTCAGCAATAGATGAAGTGATTCAAGAGGAAGGTTTATATCTGTAATACATGCGTGTTATAGTATACAACGATCCGAGAAATTGAACAGACTAGTAATGCAACTGTCAGAAATCGGTACGGCTCGCTAGTTATTATATATTCTATCTAACCAAGAAAACGACGTAATTTCGAATACCTTTCCATACATAGAAAATACTACAAGGAAATCCACACGAAGTCTAGATCAAGTGTGACATAAGTATAGGAATGATTGCAATATACAAATACAAATGTTATACAATATCACAACATCTACTTATAGAGTTGCACTTAAAACCGGTATTAAAATAAAATATAAAAATCGTAATCACGATCAACGGAGAGAAATGGACCGTGCACGGAAGCATTTTACTTTTTATAAGAGGATTTTGCAATTTAGTGTCTCTAAACTGTAAACTAAAGTACGTGCATCATACTATATATTTTTATACTTAAGTAACAAACTTATTTTGACCTATCTACATAATTATATTAATTCCTAATATTAATCGATTTACTTATTTACCTACTAATATTATGATGCTTATAACTTATCAGACTTAGGACAACATGTTTTTGAATAAAAATTTATATACACAGATAGGTTTTGTTTTAAGATCACACAGTATAATCTACTCGTATATACATTGATACACAGTTACTTTATTCATCCCTTTTTTGAAAAAGGCTATTGATGTTATTTGATGGAAATGTAAAAATAATAGTACTAAGTTGAGTACAGATTTGGAGACTTGCCTACTCATCCTAATTTATTATTTCTTCAAAGTTTTTATACTGAAAAATGTAAATAAGGAAGTTGCTACAAGCATTTTTAAACATCATTCAAAAATATTTCTAAATAACGGTAGTTGTTACTTTCGAATGAAGTTAATGTTTTACAAAATAAGCATGTGCGAATTTCAATATACCTACTATTATCTATGATCTTAATTATATATAAGCAATTTAAATTCATTATCAATTAAAGAAAATAAACCTGTTAAAAATATTGTAGTTGTAATAGAGCACATACCTATTAAAAGTATGTAGCTCTAATCCATATATGTGGATAATGTTATTATGTATTAAAAGCCAGAAGCATGTAGCTTGTATAAAAAAGTGGAGTCAATGAAACACACTTGATATGCAAATGTGAATTACCAGGCTTCTTGATACGCAGTATTTGAAGTCATAACTACCGAACGTAACGTACCTAACTATATGTAAACTACCATTTATATTCAAAGTTTCTATTATATTTTTCAATAAAATTAACACTTATTGATCTTTTTGTTTATTAATCATCTTCACTTACCCTCTAATAGTTTAAAGTGTTATGTTCCTGAACAATCTTTTACACTGATCTTTACGACCTTTTTGTATTGCTGTGAATCACAAATACCTAATGACACAAACTTGTTCACAAAAATACAACATTCCACACTTAGTAGGGGCACATATTACATATACCAAGAGTAATTGAGTGTGATTTGCAACAATCAAATAAACAATTTATATATCTATCTATCACTTATAAATAATTGGTATTGAGTAGGTAGATAATAATATAAGAACTATTAAATTAATCTTTAAGCACGTACAATTTCGATATTGTCGTAAAAGCTGACTTGACCTATGATATCAAGAATTAAATCGAGACTTGAATCCGAATTACTGTAAAATAATTTCACTTTCGCCATATCAACGTAACATTGGTCACGAAATACTTACCAATACTTAAATTGTCCAGCCGATATATAAAATAGATAGAGTAGAGTACCTATATACCTACTTATATTAATTTATTTATAGTTAATATTAATTCTGTTAAGTATTTCTAATATAAAAGTATTAACCAAAACCAAAATCGCGACAAATTATTGTGGATTTATATTTTTACGAGCTTCCAAGGCGCTGCCCACGTGATTAGGGTACAAAGTGTCTTGTGTGATTCAAGAAGATGGTCAGTCCGTACCAAATTTAATTCGAATTCGTTTTCAACAAAACAACAAACATCCATCTCTTCGTCACGGTAATCTAGCGCACACAGCTCTACTTCCGATTATCACGGGTTCTTTTACTCACATGATACAAAGATTTGTATTCACAACTACTATTGTTTGTATTGATCTGCATGTTTTTTATTTATGTTATGAATTACACAAAAAAAAATCGAAATATTTCTCAGTTGTCTAGTGCCCATAACACAGGATCGGCTTAGCTTGAGACTAGATGGCGCTTTGTGAATTGTTTGTGATTATTATTATACTCACCAACTTTCGTGGTTGTGCTATTAATAGAATATACCCAGAAATATCATACCACCATACTATAGAAACCCAGCCAATGTGACTTGTGTTTGACTTGCATGGTGAAGATTCCGTATAATTAATTAGTTCAATTGATAGTACCTATATCATCATACTATTATTCTTTGTTTATAATATGGATCATATTATAAACAAAGAATAATAGTATGCTGTATCCTTACATGTGTACCTGTAATTAATTATGCAGTCTTTGTCTCTCAATTAAAAAACGATTGCCCATTTTGTCCTTGCTTTATATATGTAGGTAGGTACACCTATATATAAACTTAATTCTTGCAACGTAACGTACTTTGATGTACCTATCATTGTATTCAATATTTTAATGTAAGTTACATAGTTATAAGGAATCATCATCCTATTATAATAAGGAAGTGATATGTTATACAATTATAATTTTGCAATAGATGCTTACATATGTAGTGTACCTATATATCTCAATATAATTATGCCGTATTATCAATTGTAGTTAGAGTGTCTATATTACAATTAGATTTATTATTCAGTTCAAAATTAAAAAAAAACGTTTTTACAGTCCATTTATAATATGCTTTTTGTTTTTATTTCTAAAAAGCTGTACTCGCGACTTTGTCTGCGTGGATATATACTAATATGTTTTTTAGGTTTTCTTTTACTCATTGAAAATATCGTTAGTACCTATATTTGTATCATAACATATGCAAATCTGAATATTAAAACTTAAGCAGATGCATTTATATGGGCATTGATAGAACAACAACAAAGTTTTTATAATGCTTTTTTTGTTTAATAGAAAAACGGTATGGCCTTGTTTATATTCGAGTTTACTGACCATATCATAACTAAACATGCGTTATTAATATAATTTGCATTAAAAGTAATAGAAACGTATTTTTCGGCACACATGTTAAATCTTACTAATATCTATTATAAACTTGGAAGTTTTTGATTGTGGACGGATGGGTCGTTGTTACTCTTTCGCGCTACTGAAAGGATTTTAATGAAACTTTGGAATAATATAGCTTATACATCAGAATAGCATATAAGCTATAAATTTCGAGCGAATGAAACCGCGGACACAGTAAGATTATATATGAGATACCTACAATTCTATTTCCAGTTATTTTCGTTTGCTAAATATCTATTATAAGAAAATCTGTGGAATGTTTTAGATTGTCCTCCCGACGGATATATTTTAGTCTTTGATTTTAAAAGTGCTATAGCCGCATTTACATTAACTCTGTTTGACAGAAACTCCTTGCAAAACTGATTCTTAGGGTAAATATAATAGGTAATAACGAAATTAAATTAAATGAATAATATAATAAATAATAGTTTCTAAAAGTATATTAAAAATAAATGTCCAAGTATTATGTTCTATTTATAGAAATTACGAATTCTTTTCGTAAATACCATTTACCTGCCTCCAACTAGAGAAGGGTAGTAACGGTAAATTGAAAAAGAAAAATGCTAATCAAATTCCAAGATTACAGTGCTCATGCTTATTTATATTAAACACTATCTACTTAATAGTTCATCTTACTTTGGCAGATACTACATTCTAAGAGACCACCTACATTTTATTAAAACCAGTTCCTCACAGTCAATATTCCTATAATAAGTGTGTTTTACTTATTTTGTGGTCAGAGCTAATGGTCCGTCTGTTTACTTTCTAGGACTACTTAGGTATTAGAAAGTGTGCTTTGAATAGCCAGGGACTATGTAATCAATACCTTTGTGATCGCATTCAAAGGCATTGATATCAACCAATATTACTATTTTAGATAAGAAGTTAGTAATAATAATATTTATTGACAAATAGTAACATATAATTTTATTTATACATTGTTTATTTTATACATACACTGTTTCGAAATAGGAAAACCTAGGACACCTGTTAAGTTGTAGCTATATGTATATACAGGAAACAAAAAAGATATTTGTACATAACTGTACATATGATATAATAAATTGCAAGAATATTAAGTTTTTATGTGAATAAAAAAACAATATGTTTAACTATGTGAGTGTACAGGTTTTTACTATAAATAATATAACATTGTTTTTAAGTATGTGCGTGTACATGTACATGTACATGTTTTTACTTTAAATTTATTTTTAAATTTGAATACTTATATAGTAAATTTATACTTTTTTCTTTTTCTAATATGGTTAATATAGTTGGAAATGAAGTCTAAATGTAATAATTACTTAGTGACGCCTCAAGATAGTGGTAGTGACCGCGAAGCTACCGTCACGGTCACCATCTCAACATCAGTCATAGTTTTCTGTTTGTAAAGTCGTATCTAATTAATGTTCGTAAATTCGTTTTGTAAATGTTTGTAAATTCGTTTCAGTAGTAGCATTATCATAAAATATGATTATATTACTTAGTAGATATTATGTATTTACTGTAGGTATTCTCTATTATAAAGACAATAGTGAATAATTTTAGTTTCAGATTATGAAACTCATGATATCACTATTACTATATAAATATGAAATTAATTTAATATATTACGTTTAAATGAATATTTTATATTTTTTAGCGTTGTACCTATGTGGAGAAAATATAGGCCTTTTGCAGACTAGCTGGCGAAGTTACGGGTAAATATAAGTAGGTATCTATTAAATTATATTTATGCTTGATACTTTTTCATTAATTTTATTGACATAAAATTTAATAACAATGTTAAAAAATAACTAATGAAATTTCATCTAATATTTTTGAAATAACAACGACATCGTTGTTATCGCACCATCACTTATGTTATGATTTGTTAATTAATAACTCAGCTAGATAATATTTTTAACTTGTATATTAATGAAGTATATTTAATCTTTTGTAAGAAAATGTCTACTATGTTTGAATATAATAAAAAAAATTTTTCATGGTTAAACTACGTTTTAGAAATTATTGTAAACATATTCAAATTATATGTATAGAGTGATTAGTCTCGATACTACAGTATTTTCCATTAGTGCCAAGAACTGGTTAGATCTGCTGGTAATTGGGTAAAGAGGTAACCATGCAAACCTGTGGACATCCATATCCATTACCTTAAGACAGCTTAATGATATGGCTGTGATGAATGAAATTATTGAAATACGAGTGTATTATTTACCTACCAGATTCTTCAATAATGAAAGTGTTCATTTTTACGTTGATTTAGTAGTGGATTTTGCGTATTTATGTATATATATATATATATTTTTACAACTTTATTTTTTACGTGATTCGTCGAATAGCAAACTATCTGACATCTAATGGAAAACGATAACTATAGCATTATAAATATACCACCACGGCTATCACAAAATATACTATAGCATCATATAATTATCATATTCACTTTCATATGCGTTGTGTGAAAAGCGGTTAATTTAAAATTCACGCTTCAATTTTATTTATTTGTATAAAAATGCGACAAACTTTAGACCTGCCGGAAAAACAAAATCCGCCGCTTAAAGTTTTAGCAATAAATAATGTTTAATCTTGATAGTAGATAGTACCCCACGTACTTTCTAAAATCCAAAACATCGGTGACAATAAATTAGGTACACCTATAAGGTCGTTATGGGACTACGATACCCATTTAACGGGGCATTATAGTTTTAATGAGTTCTCGTCTTACCGTCAAACAAGAGGTATTGAAATGAAAGTGAAACTAATAAGTGACTACCGGGTAAACAAATCACAAGGGAAATTCGGCTTAGAATTTACCTGTGATTTTCAAGTTCGTTGAACATTTTGAAAAATAATGACGAAGCATCCGTTAAAATAACAGTGAAAGCTCACATAAAATTGCGACTAGTTAAAATTATGAATACGACTAATAATATTTTTCTTGTGTTCTTAATTAAGCACACTACATGTAAAGTTTAGGGTTATCTTTACAATCTAAATAAATAATTCTAAAATCTTTGTAACTTAGACGTTCTCAAATGGCGAACTCAAATCATTAATCCAATCAAAACTGTGTGGAAAGATTAGAGAAGTAACAAGTTAAATGATAATATACGTCAGGGTCGAGCCGATTCAAAAGTTCGTGTAAATGTAAAAAATAAGCATAAATGCATAATCTAGTACAAAAATTAGTGATAAGAAGGGAATATCCCGAGGTAAACAGTACCTAGGCACCCGATCTTTCAGAAGAAATTTCAAAAAGTCCTTCAAATAAAATTAATTATAACAAAGCATAACCTATTATAAATTTTCAGGCTGGCACGTTCACAATTAATTAATATAATAATTCTTACGATATTTCTAATTCTTACTGTAATTTATGAGTAATTCTTTTTACGGATATTAAAAATGCACAAATTAAAGGACATTAATATTGAAAACTAACACATTAAAATAATTGGTATGAAGTCCACTTAATAATTTGAATGAAAAAAAAACTTACACAGAATAAATGCCGCCACATCTTTACGAGTACTATTTAATTGAATTTCACTAGATATTAACTTTTAAATAAGCCGCTGCACACCAATAAACAATATACGGACGTCTGTAAGTTTCCCGCCCAACACTGCAATGCGCGCGCGCCTTCTCAACCGTTCATAATAATGGAAGCGAACGGCAGTTTTGCTTGGATTTTATATAACTTCAACGAATCGCTGCTGCACTGTACACTGCACACCTAGATTCAATTCAATTCAAATTGTTGTTTTGTTTGACACGAGTTAGATAATCCTAATGGTGCCCTCATCATAATTTAGAAAACCATCCATGCATGAAATTATCAGACTTAAATTGTTAAATTAATTGTGAAGTTTAAACAGCATAAAAAGTGCGTAAAAAGTAGGCTCTCTAGCGATTAGTCAAATCTTGTGTCATCCGTGCCAATTTGTTTGACAAAAACTATAGTTTACTTGATGAAAGTATGCCAGCGCTTGTCCTAATAACCTGGGATTTAATTACTCAGTGATGGGTGCTTAAATAAAAACTTCTAAATGCAAATTTCTTTAAATGAATTTGTTTTATAAATACTAATAATATCTATTAACAACCAGCCATACAATAGATAAGACATTTAGCATTAGATATCCTAGTGGATGAATATTGCACAGACATGCGTGTGATATACAATCATTGGCGTCATTGCCAGTAGAGCATCCCTCTTAGCAATCTATTCAATAAAATTCTATTTGACCACAAATGTTTCACCTTTGCTCACAAAGGACAATAGACAAAAATATGCTTTCTTTACCTTGGTAACATAAATAGTCAGCTGCGATTGTTTTTTTTTGTATCTATATTTCAACATGGAAAAGCTAGTTTTATTCGACATGGATTCAGATCAACCTGAATTTGAATACCAGTTACTTAATCTCAAATACAATTTAATAGACTTTATTTTATATAATAAATAAGCAAAAGGTAAATACACCACACTTAATTACACCAGAATCGTTGTATTAAGTTTTTATTACGTACTATTGCGTTATAGCGTTATATCTTTACTGCGACCGATAATAATCGATTATGCATTCATAGTATTTATTTACTTCAGATTTATATTGTATAACATTATAGTGAACTCTGAAAAATTCCATTACCCAATTATGTATTTCTTACTCTTCTAGAGTAGTTGGCTAATTAAATTGTATGACTTTCTGATTAATTTTAAGATTTAATTACATATCTAGTAAATCACATAATTTGTTATCTGGTAATTGAGTATTTTAGATGCTGGAAATAAAAGTATAAAATATTAAAATGTAATATATTTATGAAATTGAAATGTCTATAGCTACCTAGCTAGTAGATAAAACTTATGAAACATTTATTTTTCTTTTCCTGTTTATCCATTACTAAAATATGAAAGGAGCCTACACCTACACCCACTTCACTTTTGACAAAAATATCTAAATATTAGTAGTATCTATTTTATTTGTTCAGTGATAGTAGCCCTACAAAACTCAAACAGAAATAATGTAAGTAGATCAATATCTAAATAATATATAAAACTTTATTTTTATATTTCTTTTCATGTGCGAGTCTGTATAAAAACATGCAGTAATGTAGTAAAAAGATTTTAATAATATCACAGAGCAAGTATTAACTATTAGTCACATTTTGGAATAGAAAACCAAAAATGTGACCTACTTACTATTAGTTTATTATATCTTATACATTATTTAGTTAATTATACCAAACTTTGAGTAGGTAATTCACTATGTGAACTATAAGTTAATGTGACTTGCACATACCTACAAACGTATTTGAGTAATTGTTAACAGGCATACAAAATAGTTCTAGATATCTGTTAGTACTTTCGTCACGCAATTTGCAAGTTTTAAACCAGAAAAGTAACTTATGGGGGCATAACGCAACTAATATATCAACAGAACTGATATTTTATTCTTTGTTCTGTGAACACGTCTAAAACAGACCAGCTGTCACAAATTCACAGTGGGTACTAATATCTATGAAACTACATACGGAAAAGGAAAATATAGGTATTTATATAATTTTTAAATTAAGTTTTATTTTCTTTGCAAGTGTACTCTTGGTACGCATATCCAACAAACCATTTTTATTTTTATTTAGATTGGCCTAAAAATAGAGATAGGAACATTTACGCAAAAGTAATTACCTACCACTGCGAGAATTGAGATTGACTGTAATGCATTTATTGCATGATATGATATTGACTAATAATGACAGAGACACGTATATAGATCTAACTAAACAACTAAATATATCTACAATGAATATTAGCAAAAACAAATTATACGTCCGAAAGTCAATGACACAGTTCAGTCATATCGATCAAGATATACATTTTGTATACTTCCTAGCATTATATCTCTGCGGCCCTTCCTCTTGTGGGAACTATGCTTTATAATGCCCACGTACTTGACCACAATGAGGGTCGTCGACAAATAACTGCGGTGTCTTAACTACCGCATCAAGATCGAGATCTTCGTCTAGTAATGAACAGATATTATGTATATAATTAACTTTATTATATTCTCCATGGATATATAAAGTACTTACTGGACACAATTGTATACAAATAATTGTAAATACAAATCGTTTCTGCATTAGATATGTATCAATTTCTGTAACAATTAAATAGCTGTTACGTATCTCACTCATTTGCTTAATTCTCAGGCATGGTATAAAATATGATGACGTCACAGTATATACTTCGATGTCTAAAGAAATACTGCATGCTACCATTGTGAGCATACCAACCATATTTAAGTTGTCTAATTGTATTATTATTAAAATAGGTAGGTAGGGATATAAAAGCTTGTTTCAACGGTGTTCTGGTGCTTCACTCGATCCTCGCAGAACATTTGTATTAATGGGTACGATGGTTTATATTGGTCACGTGTGTTTTCTATGTATGTTATATATTTATTTCTATTATAAATGTTTATATATACCCATAGTACAAGCTCTGATTAGTTTTGGTCTAAAGGGCGCAATCTTGAAATATTATTATTTCATTATTTATGCAAATAATAATCTAACCGAACAATACTTTTGCGACGTTTCAAACCATTGAGGCAAACTCAATCTATTCTTTGCTTTTATTATTTATTTAGACCAAGGTAACTCTACAGGTCTCTACCTATATTTTAATACAGTTATTAACAAATCATTAAATGTTCGGTTTAACGATTCTACGCCGGGTAAGTAGGTAATTGTCACAATAATGGATCCTTGGTCAATGCCCTCGTGATCTCACGACCTAACTGGAAACAAGAGAGCAAGCTAGTAAAACAGCTATGCAATTTATCTTCTTTGTACTTCTTTGAATAGCCACAATAGGTACAGACCTACCTAGTATATAAGACATTTAATAGACAGCGACAATAACAAAATAATACCAGATTAACGTAGGTAGGTACTGAATGCATGTTCATTATGTAGATGTAGGTAAGTAGCTACCTATATACTGTATTGTTGCTACACACAACTTGTTTAGTACAAGACAGGCTCTGGAACTGGGAATAATTAAATTTAATATTTATTAATTTAATTGTTGATATTATCTGTACTTACTGTAAAATCAACGAATAGCAATTAATTGCTATTAGTTTCGTATCGCAGCATTAATTATTTATAGTGCACCCATATGCCCTACAGGTATAACATGATGTATGAGCATGAAGTCAGTCCAATTCAGGCAGGTCAGACCTAAAACTGCAATGGTTTCGAAATGGTAAGCCGCCCGCGTAAGGCATTGCTTGAAACGAAATCAATAATCCCTAAAAATCACCCGTACTGTATGAGAGCATTATTACGTATTTACTAATATTCGATAATAGGATATATCTTACTGCGCAGCATACCTACGCGAAAGAAACGCGTGTCTTGAGTTTATGCTCCTGCTTATTCTGATTACAGTAACAATCTCCGTACTTCATTCTATCGCTAGTATCACGAGATGCATATAAAACTATGCATCTCGTGTTTACATTAGCATCCAATTTATAGTAACTGAACCAATGCAGGTATCAAAATCGGTATCGTAAATGGTAAAAGCAATTAAATTCTTACCTAGACTTTATCGATTCTACTCCTAACTCAAAAAAATATTCGATCTTCAATAATGCCTAAAATAGGCACCTGCCTATTTTTATTGTACTTAAATAGATACAATAAAATGCTTGTTTCTTTAGCACGTTCCTTATGTAATATTACATTATGATTTACAGGTAAAATTTCGCTACGTACGAAATAGCTAGAGATAAGGAAAACCTTCAAGAATCTGCAAATACCTTATTAGATGCATCTTCGTGAGTTATTTTATAATTTAATAGCACAAGACACCATCAGAATCCAATCAAGTTCAATCTAAGTCATGCCCTTCGATTCCATTACAGTGTTAGTTGCGTGCAGCTCAATTAATTATGTGCTGGATTATTATTATACTGTGTTGGCATTATATAATATATTTTTAATACAATGTTTAGCTTGCTAGGTTATTCATTTACTGAAACGTGGATTCTTAAACCATCATGGAGGGCGTATATGTTATTATAGTATATTAAAAGATCTTTATCGAGTATTCAAGTATAGATAACAATAACTATATATCAAAAGCGGTCTACACACGACCTCAAATCAGAGGCAATATCGGAGCAACGGTAGGTAGCGTTCTAGATCGATCCAACATTACATCTAATTTGAATGTCATATACATTAAATTTTACATTTGTTATTAAATATACAGTAGGTATTAGTGAATAAAACTTACTACTTTTATTTCATATTTTGAAAAGGAGAAGTCGACTGCAATGATATATTATAATAGAGAGGAACTATGTTGTCTACATGCGACATATAGCTGTGCCCGCATGAAAATTACAGCTTGTTGTTATGATGTATAAGCTATATTACTGTAAAGTTTCATCAAAATCCGTTCAATAGTTTTTGTATGAAAGAGTAACAAACATCCAACTATACTCACAAACTTTCGCATTTATAATATTAGGAAGATTATCGCCTCTTCTTAATATCCAATCTCCTTTCTCAATTTAACTTGTTGGCAAAGACCAAAGCTAAACTAATTTAGAAGACAAAGCCTTTGTCAAGGAATCATCAGTCTCTCGCATCAGTTTTCAATATTTCATCCTTTTATATTACTCTCTCGCGAAAGTGTTTCAAGTTAAAGTGCTATATTCTCTGGTGTCACTCAAATAGTGGGTCATGCGCTATCAAAATAGGACTTTGTAGTAACAAGCCCCATCACTAAAAAATAATCCTTGAATAAGATAAGCTCTCGCGATTTCGTTTTTCGAATTAGGTACGATTAATTTGCTTAACACGTTAATCGTCATGACAATATCAGAAAAAAAATCACATGGGCCATGGTAACTTTATTAGTTAATTTAGTTTAAAAATGTATCAAGGAAACTTAATGTGTCACAGATCTTTTTTGTCAATATTCCGGGAAAAACACTATTTATGTCGCACATATATGACTAACATGCCCTATATTATATTTTTTTTCTCGACAAGCTGTATCAATCTGTCTGACGTTCATTTATTTCATTTTATTGTTTGTAGTAAGCTAAGAAATTTTCAGGTTTTCAAGCTTTCAAAACATAATGCAAATGTATCATTTGCGTCGGACATCTGTGATTACCGTAGCCTTCTAACAAATCGCGTACGGCAGACGTATATGTCTGACATGGCTCATATAGAACTTCTTAGCGTTAGACACATAACTGGCATGGCGAATAACGTGTTAATTATTTATCAGTGTCCCGAGCACAGAAAAGTTATTCAGAAATATATATTGAAAGTTTTTTATGTTCGTGATGATTACCAAAATCAATGAAAGTACAAATACTGTTATCGTATTTCTTTATTGATACCTCCGGTACAGTACTATCTGACCACTTTAAAATGCAATGTTATGTATCACTTCGAACAGTAATGCCGAACAATATTTGTACACAGAACATATATAATATATTAATAAATTATAGAAAAACAATATTATTAAAAAATAATATACATGTATAGATGTTTCTACTTTTTTTCTGGTGTGAATTTTTTCATAAGTACAATCTGACTGTTAGAATACTTGTTATGATATACTTCCATAACTTTACTACATCGATTCCAATAGTTTTTTAAATTAAAAGTTTTCTTAGACTAATTCTTAATCTCTTATATTCCAAATGGCATGGGCAAACAAATAATACTGCTGAAGGATAACATGCACTACTAATCATTGTGACATCATTAAATCATACTTAAATTTAAATTGTATTACAATTAAATATTTATTATAATTATTTTAAAATTTCTTTTATAAAATGGAATACATTAAAAAAATCTTTATTCACTCTAATGACTCAAACTGAATTTCATATACATTATTAAATAGAAATAATAAAAATTCGAATTTTCGAGTATGTTCAACCATCCATCAAACAATTATTATACAGGTACGACCTGAAAAAAATTCAGACATTGCTATATACAAGACATACATAGTACACATGTATCTTATTAAAATATACATACGTGTATAAAGTCGCATTTTTAAACCAGTAAAATTTAAATTATAGCTTTAAGCCTGCTTAATAAACTCACTGCCTTGTAAACACAACCTAAAACACACACAAAATCAAATTACATTCGAAAACACACCAAAGAAAAAATAGAAATTTACAAATAATTCACTAGGACAAATATTCATACTAGATTTTCATATTCAGATCACATTGTGCTAAAACACAAAACAAAAAAGATCAGTAAAATATTTTATATGCATATAAACTGCATACGTCTAGTTCATACATCAATAAACACTTAACGCGGTCCTGTTGAATGGTTAAATGAGAACTAAATAATCTAGGATATCTAGGGCGCTACCTATCTAAGCTAAAAATATTTGATAAATATTCCATACACGCTATATTCGACTTAATACTAAATTAGCAACGTATCACATCCATCGATCAATCCATAGCCATAGTAATGGAAAGACTTTACTAAACATCTAACCATTCGCACTAACGGGGTTAACTGTACTTGAAATTATTCTCTATACGCACTGGCTATTTTATAAAAGTATAATAATAATACAAAATCTTTGTTAGTCATTAAAATTGTTTTTGTATTATTTAGAAATATTCTAAATGCGTATACTCGTCAGCATTTGCCTATTTCAAATATATGCAATAAGTATTATTATATTTAATTCAATGTCTTCACAGATAATTTGAGATGATGTTTCGCCACCATACACAAAGTAGCATAAATTATAAATAAAAAAGCCAGAATAAAAGAAAGAACATCTATATGAAATAAATTTGAAATTTGAGTATCACGGTTTTGTTACTTTAACAAGTGATTGAAGTGTTTAACAAGAATAGAATTAATGATTTCTTATATTGAGGAAAAATTACGATCAAAACAGATAAAATATCCATACAGAAATATCAATCTAACACGACCCAAAAATCGCTTACCGCCGAGTTCGTTAACAGGCATCGTCACAATAACGTTAATTTAAAGCCACACTACACTATTGTACGTAATCAACGTAAGTAATAATCAGTCACTCCGCACTTGGGACTCGCCGTCCGGTATAATGTTCCCGGTATCGGTAGTGGATGGTGCAGTCACGAAGTTTACCACTGCGGATTAGGCGGTAAGTAAGCCTCGGGTGCGTTCATCGGTGGCACACCCGGCCCCGCGGCCGCGCCCGCAGCAGCTCCCGCGTACGGCGGTGCTCCCGCTCTATACGGAGCGTAATATCCCGCGGCGCCATACCCGCCGTAATAAGCCGGGTTTGGATATGCTCCGTACGGCATCCCATAAGCTGTATATAAAAGACACGTTCAAATTAATCCTAATGTATATTTTAACATTGTAATTTAAGTAAAATAGAATTTTAATCTGATCTGTAGTATTTTTAAGTACATAGTAGTAGTAAGACGAATAGTAGTAGTAAAGTGAGTGAAGATTCAGCTACTAGGACGTAGGTCTGAACTAAGTAAACCAATCGATAACACCGACTACTAAGGTGAAAATCAAAAGTACGAAAGTTATATTCTATAGGCCAACTAATGACATTCTGTTCTATAAACCTAGATTACTTTTAAATTCTATGCTAAAATATACTAATATTATTTACCTGGGTATTGTCCGTAATGACCCTCTGGTGGGGGATTGGTAGGAGGATATGCCTGCGGTGTCATAGGGCTCGGAGGGTGAGGTATATTCGGAGACGTTGAATTGGTTGTGACATCCATACTGTTGTGAACCACATTAGGTAGTGGTTGTATTAGCTGTGGTTTACCAGGGCTCGTAAGTACATGTGGATGGGACATTCCACTCATCGACAAATCATGCGGTCCACTAGGCATTGGAGGCCTATTCATTAATCTAGGTTGGGAATTCAGAACAGCGTTTTCTACTGGCGCAATAGGAGCGGTATTTAGCTCATTTTTTCTAGATTTTTGCGATGTAGTACCTGAACTTAAGAGATTTGATACACTATGGGACATGGTGGAATTTGATGGAAGTTGCCTTTCATTAATTGGAGATTCAGCTGAGACTTCTGCTTTATTTGGTGATTTTTTCTTTTTAGATTTAGAGCTAGGTTTTTCGTCGGTACTAGGAGAGTAGGATTGTGTTATATCATCTAAGTTTCTACGAAAATCGGGCAATCCTTCTTTATTCAGGACACTTGCAGTTCTCTCCAGTTGACTTAAACTTGATTCAGTCTGTGGTCGGGTGCTCAAGCGTTGATGCCTATAATTTTTCAATAAATTGGTTTTTCTCTCAGCAGGTTCTGCTGGATTCATAGATTCAAATTGTTCAAGTTTTTCGCGCGCTGCCATTGTCATGTCCATAGACCGATCCCCCGTTTTGTTTTCTAAATTTTCTTCCGAAGGCAATTTTTCATCTGTTGTAAGAACTATTGAATTTAATCCTTTCGATTCAAATTCACTCTTCGGTTTTTCTGTTGCATCAGAAGATTTAGAATCTTCTGAATGTTCAATTGTACTATCGTTATTTTTAAAATTATTAGTAGATGATGATTCTGCTTTATTTTTATGGGAAACCTCATCATCACTATCTAATACTTGTGTATCATCTTCAGAACCAATGTTCATTTTATTTGAGGTATTATTTTCAATGTTATCATTATCCAACTTCTTAGTATCTTTAGGTATCTTTGTTATACTAACAGATCCTAAATTGGGTCGCATGATCCTTCCATGCTGAATAGGCGTTCTCGGGCGCATACCAGAATATCCTCTTAATTCTCCTAAGCGGTTCCTTATATCGGCAATCTTTTGACCTGGGAGTAAAGGTCTAGCTAACTTGTTTTGTCCAGCCATGGAAGGTCTAGCTAATACTCGTTGATAACCTGGTCTAGACGCAGTTTTAGATGTGATTGTTATTGCTGAATTATTTTTAAGCGAACCAGGTATATTCGTAGATGTTGGACGACCACCTAAAACTATGATAAAAACGGTATTAGTATAATATTGTAATTGCAATAAGTCCAAATTATATATTTTTTATTTCAATTACACTAGCGATATACCTTTTTTGCCTATTGGATTGTCCTTGCCATCTCCTCCTTTTTGTCCTAAGCCTTTAAATGAAGTCTTGATAGCAATAATTTTGCCAGATTCCAGCTGCATGTAAATTCCTTTTGGTGATTTTAACACCATAACACGTTGACCAGCTTTCAGTACTATATTCGTTTTTTCAGCAGAATTTGTTGGTATTACTACATCTGTTAAATAAAATTTGCAAAGTGAATATTAACTGTATTTAATCACTTTGGTTTTCCAAAATAAGCTGACAACGTGATTGAAAGTAGATTTTGACTTCTGTAATTCTTGTTATGGTTAAACAAAAATTACAGAAGTTAAAATCGTATCAAAAATTATATATCGAAAATTTTTGAAGGGGACACTGTAAGTAGGCCATTCTTAAAACATAAGAGAGAAATATAAGTAATATACTGTGCCACATATAAATGTCAGTATGAATAATACATACAGTACAGTGGTATAATGTTGCCAATATTGATTGTGTGATATGTTCATTTATTGTTTGGTAATGTTTCCACATTATGTGGTAATATTCCACATGGTACTACCATAATCTTCGTCGTGACAGTTCGTATGGTAAGGTAGTACCTGGTGGTGTGTTTGTCTACGCGATAGATTTGTCTAGACGATACTAGTGCTGCTTGAAGAGTTGGAGAGGAATTACGGTTGCCGACCGGTGGTCGGTCTGCAAAGGACTCACGGGCGGCATTAAAAACCCACGTCGTCATAGTTATATTATTTTTTTTCAGAGATCATAATGGAATGATTTCCCCGCCTGCACTAACGGTATACGCTAGCGGGGCACCAGTGAAAAATGATAGATGCGCGTAAAGTCAGGTCAATTTGCCCATCGTGGCAAATTTGCCAAATATTGACGATCATTATGGTTTCCAGGGGAGACCGACTGAAGGTCAACCTAACATTTGTAGCAATAGCCTATTGTTGGCAACGGGGCTACTATCCTCATTACGAACAATCCCTACGTCTCAAACTGTCGTAGTTGTATTCACGATTTATTTTGAGGAATATAATCGACTCTAAAATGCATTTAATGTTAGTTACCAAGCGGCAGCGTCATCTCCTGCGCAGTCATGCCCTGCCGCCGCCAGACGTCGGCTGGTATCCAGCGCGCGCCGTGCTGCATGGGCCGCACGGAGGCCACCGGACGCTGCACCAAGCTGCCGTCCGCCGTCCGGACCGTGCGGTACGCCGCCGCCGGCTTCGGTGCCAGCGCTGCCTTCTTCTCCAACTCGTACCTACACCAGACGTTACATTATACGTCGTGTTCTAGTGCTAAACGACTAGATCACGACGAGCCACGGTCGTCTAGTGGTTTACCACACCGCTTCACTTCCGATGGGCGCGGCTTCGATTCCTCGCACGGCACAAACATTTATATTAATGAGTAGATTCGGTAGGTTAATTGTTTTCTAGGTATAATATGCATGTGTTTACGAAAACAACATATATCTATGTATTTGTATCAGTTATCTAGCCTATAACACAAGGATTAGCTAGCTTAACTTGGGTCTAGATAGCACTGTGTAAAATGTCCTGAGATTATTATTATTATTATTACATCATATCTTATATACAATATAGTAATTTCTTTCAACATATTTTAGTTACTAAACTTTTTTATATTTTCTATATTATAATATACATTCATAAAAATAGTTGAAACATTTTTAACGCAATAAAAAAACTGCACTTTTCCATTCTACATATAAGATATGTGCTAAAGATACTCATACTAAAGTAGTATATTGCTATATACAAGATTCTACACAATTGTTCTACAGGTACATTGATCATACATTACCCTCTCTGTGCAAGTCTTTTTTCAGCACTAGATAATTTCTTTTCCTTCCTGTCGACTAGTAGCGATTCATGTTGGAATGGTTCCTTGCTGAGTAGTTTTCCATGTTCAGATATAATCCCCTGCATCAGTACATCTATATACTTGTCTTTAAATCCTGAAAGATCCTTTGGTTCGGATTCCTGATAAATATAAAGATATTTTAATTAGGGTTTACATCTATAATGTGTATATTAGGACTAGCTGACATCCCGTTTTGCTATATGTATTTTTAATGCCACATAATAAAAAAATAAAATAAACATTTATGTCCAAAAATATAACCAATTTTTTGGGGTGAAAACCTAAACACTTAGGGGCAAATATATATTACAATATTACAATTACATTTCACATTTAACCTTTAGACATTCAGTTACACTAATATATTTTAGACTCTAGAATGCATGAGCTACAATTTAGAGTATAATCCTCACAGACACAGACACAAAGAGAAAACATTTACATATTGTATACATTTAAAATTTGTTTAATATTAAAAAATAATCAAACGCAATATAATTTACCTTCTCGTCATTATCGAAGCAGAGATTAGTGATTTCCTTCATAGACAATACTGCATCTGGGTTACACTCATCAACAACACGGTCCGCCATACCCTGTTTGTTGATTTGACGATCGTAGATTTTCTTTTCGAGGCACCAGTCCATCACAAAACGATACACAAAACAAGGTTTTCGTTGACCATATCTGAAATATCAAACGATTAAGTGACGAATATGAATTTGCAACAAACACGTAAATGACTATATAAAGTAGACTGTACAGCATATATATTAAAATGCATAATTGTACGTTACCTATAAACCCTACAGACGGCCTGTGTATCGTGGCAAGGGTTCCAGCTAGCGTCGAATACGATGACACGATTTGCACCCACGAGGTTGATCCCGAGCGAGCCAGCGCGCGTTGATACCAGAAACAGGTAGATATGTGGATTGGTATTAAACTCATTTATAAGCTTCTCCCGTTCAAGAGCGTGTGTAGATCCATCTAATCCTGTATAATGTTTATAATAAAGTTTTAAATATAGAATTAATAGCTGGTTAAAAAAAATAACGCCAACTAATGAAAAGTATTTATATTATAGTATCACCGTCATACAGACTTCAAGCAATAATTGGTTGATATCTGTGTTTCATTTGATGTAGCAAATTGTATTATATCAGCCAAAATTCTTTTGTATTGATTATATAATGTTTAATAATGATTTTATAGGTATTTTTTATATATTGTTCACATTTTAATACACATAAAATCAATTTAGCCAACTATATACTATATTAAAACATAGAAGAGATCAATACTTACGATAATAACTTGTGTTCCGTTCCCACAAGCAATTTGTTCCAGGAATGTAATTCTTTTCTAAGAAATCTTCAATTAGATTCAATGTAAACAAACTCTGACTGAACAGCAGTATTCTGTCACCTAATTTAATACTTTCGTTCAGGATATAAAAAAATAATTTCATCTTCGCGGAATTTTCAATTATGCCCGGTATATAATCTTTCAACAATTCAGCCGCCCAATCATAAGTCATTTCTTCTGCCTTTTTTACCATAGCTAACTCTTCTTCTCTATTAGGTTTATCCTCTTTCTCACTCTCTTCAGATTCTGACTCATTATCGTTTTTCTCCTTCGACTTTTTTCTGTCTTTCCTGCCTTTAGCTTTAGATTTACTCTTGGGTTTAACCTTTTCTGGCTTCTTACTTTCCTTGCGTTTAGCCTTAGATTTTCCTTTCTTTGGAGTTTCCGTTTCTTCTGACTCAGAAGCATCAGTTTTTTCCTCTTTATCCTTTAACTTTAAAATTTCAGGATTGCTATTATTAAGTGGAACAATTTCTGTTGGATGTTTTTTAATTTCATTTTTAACAATTTTTTTCGTATCTAAATCTTCTATTTTAACTTCACCATCTGACTCGGATTTCATTTCAATTTTTTCCTCATTTTTTAATTTGTCAATCTCGGTCTTAAGTTCTGTGATTGGCCATGACGTAACTGGACTTCCAGAACTAGCACTTCCCAATGGAGGTTTAGTCTCCAAATGTGGTGGGAAGTTAGGATACTGACATGGATAATTACCGTTAATATTTTCTAGTTGTTCATGATAGCTTGAAGTATTTGTTTGATATCCATAACTGGGGTCTCCGTATGGTGCAGATGTTACAATTTGGGATACATTAGGTTCCGGTTTAGTTTCATTTGATGAAAAGTTTGGTGCAATAGTTGATTCCGTTTTTATTGGTTGGCTAGGTATACTTGAAGGAGGTTGTACAGGCGGCACATTATTTTGATTATTCGGATAACCTGGATAATTTTGGGAACTGTCATACGGATTGAATGTATCCGAAGTGTTTGGTGGATATGACGAATTACCGGCATATGCCGGAGGTGGGTAAGGATTATTCGAATACTCTTGGGGTGGAGCATTATTTTGATATGGTGGTGGAGCATTAGAATTATATTCTGGGTATCCTGGTTGATTATATGGCGGATATGGAGGTCGTTGTTGATTTCCATACGGTTCTTGATTAGGCGCTGAATAAGGTTGCATTGCATTTTCAGGATAAGATTGCTCTCCTGAAGGTGCATTGTAGTTCGGTGGATATTGCTGGGGATTATTGTAATTTGGAGGAGGGTTGTTTCTATAATCGGGTGGTGGTTGACTATTAGGATATTGTGAATTATCCACTAGATATCCACTAGGATTACTATTACCGTAATAGTTGCCATTTCCCCAGTAGTTCTGATTATACCCTGAAGTACAATCGGAATTACTTGGATGATACTGATTACGATAATCATTATTATAAGGTGGTTGCTGTTGCTGTTGATAATAACTATTATCATAGTTTTGATTATAATTCTGGTTCGAAGGGTAATATCCGGGTCCTTGATTTGGGTAGTTAGGATATGGAGGAAAGGAACTACCAGGTTGATCTGATCTATACGCATTATGAGGACCATATGGTCCATTAGGTGGGTACGGTTGGTTTCCGTACGCTTTAGAGTCTGCTCGAGGTGGCGCCGGAGTTGTAGTATTAGGCGGAATGGTTGCAGCTGGCTTTTTCGAATTACCCTGAATAAAAAACATACAATATAATTAATAATTAATGTAGACAAATCCCATAAAATTAACAAATATTTAAATTATAGTATATACATAATAAATAATTTTCACAACTTCTCAAATGGTGTAGTCAAAATCATATGATAAATAATATTTAAAAAGAAATTGATTCTGAGAAATGTTAATATTATATAGTGTGATAGCTATAATGTTGTTACTGTATGAGTTGATTTGCGTTGATTATTACTTTACTTATCTTGTTTTTCTTTGTACAAAATATATGCATTACAGCTTACCCTAGGTTTAGCAGCCCGACGTGGCGGTCCCTTGTTCCTTGCGCGGCCAGTTTTTGTCACCCCCCTTAACTCTTCTAGATCCAAATCTTCTTCTATAGCAGCGTTTACTTCACTACGCTTTTTAAGGAAATTAAATAATACATCTGGATGGTTCCAAATCTGAAATTATTAATTAATAAATAATATTGTTGATGTCTATGTCAATATATAAATCCTATTCTACAAAAAAATTAATTCTAAGTGAAAATGAAAAAGAAATTAATAAACTGTTTATTTCTTTAAAAACAATTCAGTTACAATAACATAGTGTGTGATGGCCTAGTAAGCATGGAAATGCCTGTGTCAGGTACATCCCGCTCTTCCATATACATTGTCACATGTGTTTGTTTTTTTTTATATTATTTAAAAATATTAATTGTTTATATTGGTCTAGGTGTTTTATACATATATATAAATAAGTACAAGCTCTGCTTATCTTGGAACTAAATGTATGTTCAACACCATGTACTATTAATTGATGTATGGTGGTGCATATAGATAATGAAAATATCATACCTTACAACAAATAGCAAATGCCTTCAATGGATTGGGAACAGATGTGGACCGAACCACTTCATTCATGAATCTATCATACAATTTTCTCTGTAGTGGTGTCATACGCACTAAGAGTACATACTCTTCTTTTTGTGGCAAGGTAGACTGTAATACTGCATGTGACCTCCTAGAAATAGAATATGAAATTATGCACTTACACAATATTCTATTAGTTTGCTTATGATTAACAAAAATGTTAAAATTGATCAATGTAAGAGTATCTTCATAATCATATGGACATGTATGTCTAAACAGCTAAATGAATCTTCAAGGAATTTTTTTCCTTCATTTCATTAAATAAAAATCCTTTTACTACTACTACCTTTTATCTCATAAAAAACACACTCAGTTGCAGGGAACAGTTAGTCTATACAGTAGCCAGTCATCACATATAACTACTATAATAAAGTAAGTGATGTAACATCGCTTTATATTATCATATAATAATGTGCTAACCTTTGAACAAACCCCACAAGTAAAGAGTGCAGGACATGAGCTCGATATCTCATAAGTCTTATATCCTGTGGTGTAGAGTCTATACACTGGCCATTCTGTATTGGTCGTTCAAACATATTACAAAACTCTGTCTTGCTACCAAGATAATTTGGTCGAACAAAATCAACCATACACCAGTACTCTAGAAGATTGTTCTGAAGTGGGTACCCTGGAATAGAGAACACAGTAATTATGTAAATATATAGAAGTTTAAATTTTCTATCCATTTTCGCATATATATGTATTAACTTAAATAATATAAAGTTAGTCAAAAAGGGTATACTAAGCCACAAAGATATAAAATTAGCCATTAGTACAAACCCTTTCCATCTATTTTTTTAAAGACAACATTTTAAAAGAGCACACACAAGTTTCTTGCTCAGTCTTCTTGTGATAAGTCTGCATTCCTAATGCGCCGTAGAATCCAAAAATTTGCTATTAAAAGAGTTTTTATTAACTTTATTTGAATAAAGATTATTTCTATTTCTAATATATATATTATATTGATATTTCATTAAATACTGACATATCTTGACTTTGACCAAAGCTATAACATAATGCCATAGCATTAATCCACACACATCACACCAATATCTGTAGTTTTTACAGTTCCAAATAATTTTGTCAGGTTCAATATAAATTTAAACTCACCAGTCAGAACTATTCTGCGTTTAGTTCTCATTTGCTTCAAAGCATATGATATATTTGAATGAGAATTTTTTATTCTATGACCTTCATCACAAATAACCAAATCAGGACCTGGACGAACAAGAGCTTCATACATCTCTGTAAGAAATAGAAACAGGTATTCAATAAATAATAGATATCGCACGAATATGATCATAATTGTCACTTGGTACTATCATTATATAACAATATAATGAAATTAAACGAATGAAAATAGCTTGGAGGAACAGAAATTAAAAATACAGTACAAAAAAAAAATGTTGATTAACATCTTTTTAAGTTACTCTTGATTTAAAAAGATTGCTGGCCCACTGTTGCTCTGATTGACAAAAGACAGGGAGACATAGAAAACGCTGGTGGAGGTGTTACTGTCTAAAGTACATATTGACTGAGTCAAAACAGAGATGTACAAATAACATATATATTGATATTTATTGTATCTACTTAAACATTTAAGTAAATATTTCTGTTAGATTGTGTAATTATGTGTTAATTAATAAAGGCTTTGTATTTGAATAAGTTCCTTTGATAGCCTTAATGTTAACATTACTATTGAACATAACTGATAGAAATATAACCTTTACAACTCACCATCTAAAAGTTTCTTCTCCTCAGTGGTGGTTGTATCTTCCTTTTTGTCATCTTTGTTATCAGCTTCTAATTTCATTTGCATATCACCATCTTCTTTATCTAGTTTTGATTCTTCTGAAATCTATAGTATACAACAACTATTAACTATTCTATTGCGAAACAAAAACCAATCAGCTGCATTAGAACAAAAATTAGAATTAAAAGAACTAAATCTGTTCTAGACTGTATTTTGTTAATCACTAATAAAGAATAATTAGCTTTTATTACGAATTGTTTTCACCTCACCAAAGACAAAATAATAATTACAATTACTTAATACAATATGTGGCTAGAAATAAGATTCCAAAAGACAAAAGCACCAGATATGACATTTTACTAGGTTACTTTATACCTGTGTATCTTCATTAGCAGTATCAAGTTTGTCAGATTTCTTATCCTCCTTCTCTTTTTCAGCTTCGAGTTTCGCATCAGCTTTCTTTTTCTTACGAGGTTTCTTATCCTTTTTCATACTCAGAAGTCTATATAATTCATAACCTATCATCAGTACTCCTCCTGTGGTAGACCAATCCTACAAATAATATAAGTATATATAGAGTACAGGTTATGGAAGATAGTACAGTACATATAAAGGTTTATGATTTTGATGTTAAATATTTTCATAGAAATATTTACATGTCAGTAAATGGATTTATTTAGTTTGAATTGTATAGAAAACAAAGCTTTAAAATATATAAGAATACTTGTGAAGAACCTAAAAAAGGATAAAGAAAGTACAGTTTACCTAGACTAAAATGAACTAAATATTTATGTAATTTGTATACACACAATTAAATGTAACAACAACAATGTAAATTGTGTACACTTATGTAAATTGTTATTTACAATCAACATTAAAGAATATTAATTATTTATTATAAACCTAATATAATGATAGATAGGACTTACCTTGACGACTTTGGCGCGCATTTGAAGTGTCTTATGACTATCGTTAAGTACATAAATAGGAAAATTGCGTGATTGGACCTCCCCATGGGCTGCCAAAGGACTGTTTGCCGCATCGACTGGTAGCCACATGTTAAATTCAGCCACCTAAATAAAAAAAAATATTATAATGGGTTTTACAATAGCCAAAATTCATTTAAGATATTTTACGGCAAAATAAAAAATATATTATCTTAACTTTTAAATTTAAAGTTACTAATATGAAACTAATTTGATTGTCTCACCCAGTTTTGTAATGTGTTAATAGGCATAATACATAAGACAGTTTTGGACTTTGTGTATCTTAGGAATATATCACAGAAACAAACAATTTGCAAAGTCTTTCCAAGGCCCATAGAGTGTGCTAATATACATCCAAAGCCAGTTGATGTCGAAAATCGTTCAACTGATTCTATTATGTTGTCAAATAAAAATCTTACACCGCCAATCTACAAAATCAAATGTATGAATTAGTTAATAAATAATACACATTCCATATATATTTATCTTATACCTTAAACTCTAGGGTTGATTCAATCAAATGTTACCTTGAAATTGACTTCATGACAATAATGAAAAAAAATTATAATGTTTGTTCAAAATGTCCTCTAGTTTTATAAAATACAACATTTATTATAGACTAACTGTTGTGCTCATGTTATTATGATTCATACCGTTAGACTAATCAGTATCCAAAAGGCCATAAAAAAACACAGAAATAATTTGAGTTGATTAAATTCTTAAATATTATAAAGCTTCAGTAATTACTATAAATATATCGAAAATTTTGGGGTTATGTGAAGCAAATAATAATGTACATGAAATTAAAATCAATATTGATTTTACATAATATTATAAATATATAATTCGCATCAGCATCAATGTAAAATGAAATAAAATCTATTAACATACCTGATGTGGTTTAATAATTCTAGCAATTTGTGGAGCCAAAAATATATCCTCTTCATTCTCTGGATGACCAATATTAATTAAAACTCTGCCTTGTTCATCCGGAATATTGTAAGTGTCATTCACATGTAATCCTAGCCATAAAATAAAACTTGTATTTAATTTTTTTTTAAATAAAAACCATTTTGTATCAGAGAAGGAAATAATAATTTCAATAGTTTAAGAACTCTGATGTTTTAGGAACACAAAAGCTGCATCTGCATTTGTTAGTTTGGCATTACTATGCAAACATTATTATTTATGTTTTCCTAATAACTCAGTTCTTCAGCAAAGTCATTAAACATCAAAGTATTCATTCAGCAAAAGTAAATCCATTCTATAGAAGTATATTTTCATTTTGGAAATCAATATATAAATAACTCATGTTCCTAGAGAAATTAATTATTCTAAATTTAAATAAGTGAATAATATAATGAATAAGTGGTCTACTCTTCACAATAGACCAAAAAAAACACTATAAACATACCTGAGTTATGAGGGTCTTCTTCAGCTTCTGGACTAGGTGGCACCTCAGAGTCTGACAGCATTATGCAATCATCAGAATCTGACGATGATGATGATGACTCCTCGCCACTACTACTATCAACTATTTCTACTACCTAGAATCCATAAATTATACAGAGGTGAGTGAGAGACCATTAAAAATTATATAATAATGTAATAAAACAATATCCCTGGACAATTCACACAGCACCACCTAGTCCCAAGCTAAGTAGAGCTTGTATTATGGGTACTAGCCAACTGATATAAGTACTTAAATACACTTTTTATAATATGTATATAATGTCATAAGATACATTGACAACACAAAAGCATATACAAACATTCAAATACAAATTTTATTTGAATACTTGAACAAACAAACATACTTATGTACAAAAAACATACAAATGTTTGTACAGTATGAGGAATAGAGCCCACAACCATCTGAAGTAAAGCAGTGTACTGACTACTAAATCACTGAGGCATTCATAATATGCACAGAAAATAGAAAACTCATAAACATACTAACCTCTTTTTTATCAGTCTTGAGTTCAATTTTGCCTAATTTCCCAGGAATGGTACCAGATGTGGTAGGCTTTGGGATTTTAGTTACTTCTACCTGTCCTTGTTTCATACTTGTCTTCTTAACCTCACCTGAAGGCATTTTCACAAGTACTGTGTTTGGCAGACTGAAATACAAAGATGTAAATATTCAGTTAGATATTCACACAGTATTGGGGCACATTGTACTTGGAAGAATTAAAATAATAAACTTACTTTAATTTTTGACCAGGCATTTTCTTTAAAATTGAGGATCCACCTTGTAATAATGATAAAGTTTTCTGGTGAATTTTGTTTTGTCTGTTTAATGCTATTTGCCTCTGTACCTATTAAATATTAAACAATAAATTATTAAATAGAATTCAGGATATACAATGTCAAACATTATAAAATTTAAGTGGAAATGATTTATACCTCTCTAATGATTCTCTGTTGTTCTTGAACCCGAGCCAAACGCTCAGACTCTTGCCTTTGAGCAGCCAGAGTAGATGCATCTAAATTTTTCTCATCCATTACTTCTCTGATGTTTCGACGCACATTCAATGCATTTGTGTTAATAGATTTTTTCTGCAAAATTAGTAAATGTTTTAATATATTTATTCCAAATGTGTGAAATCACAAATATGTAATATGAGCCTAAACAAACGATGACAAAAAAACAGCAGCACTACATACTGTTTGAATCAAATTCATTGGGCATAAGAGTTTAAACAGTATTAATTTGTATCTAGTCTAGATACAAACAAATATAGAATTGAGTACGAAATTATCAACAAAATGATAAAAAAGTGTATTTAACATAAAATCTCACCTCTTCATCAGTTTCTCCTTTTTCTTCATTTTCATTTGATAATTCACTTCCCTCATCTTCTTTTTTACTAACTGCTTTCACACTAATTTCCCCCATTTCCTTTAATTTTTCTGTAATATCAAAGTCTTGGCTACTTTCTTCCTGCTTCATACTTAATAATTCATCAGCTGATTTCTCTGGACACAGTTCACCTTCTTCCACTTCAGCTATCTCTACATTTTTTGTTAGATCAAAATCACCTTCATTAATAATATCACTAATAGAAAGAGTCTTTGGCTCTTCTGCTTGCTGTGTTTCAGGTTTATTTTCCATTGGAACTTGCAGAAGCGATTGTGGTTCGCTCTTCTCACCACCTTTCTTATTTTCCACAATATCTCCTGTCTCAGGATCAATGTAACTATTATCCTCTTCATTTAACTCTTGCACAGCACTGGGATTCACTACAAATTCTTCTTCAGATAAACCGTCACTGTCTGACTGGCTTGCGTCGCTAGAAAAATCACTTAATTCTAATATATTGTTTCCAACTAAACTTCGAATTCTTATACCTGTGTCTTTTTTGAGCTTTTTAGTGAAGTCGTGGAAGTGTTTAACTGCTTCCATTTTTCTTTTATGGCTCATAGGCTTGGGGCGCGCGGGCGCTCTCCGCCGCGGATTCATAGCAGCCGCCTGGGCGAAGTGGGCACGTTGTATCCTCGCAATCGTTTCGTCATCGTCCTCGCTGTCACACGTCTCCTCGGAATCTTCCTCCTCCTCATCTTTCATACTAGTTTTATCTCTAAGAGCATTCGTATCCTCCGTATCATCCATGGTAAATTAATATGGATACTTAAAATTCTGTTCGCTTCATAGTCAGTACCTAACACGAGTACTTATTACAATTGTCATTCTCATATTGCAAGATCTAAAACACAGTTATAATCAATAAGAATGCAGTCCTCTTAGATATAGACATTATGATTATGGGAATTACAAACAAATCCCATTTCGGGATGATCCTTTGTAGTTCACAGAACGCGGCATAAGATGAGAGATGAAATTAACGCCGGATAACACAAATATTCACCCTATGCACTTGTACTGTCTGAAAATCATAACGTTTATTTTATTGTTTTTTCACTGTATTAATTAACATCAATAAAATAATAGTACAATTAAATTTTAGGAAGCCATTACTTCCGCAATAAATAGCATATTTGACTATAGAAATTGTGTATTGGACAAGCGTGTTTACGAAATTAAAGAAAGACGTCACAGGAATTGTAAGGACTAATGACAAAAACATCTAAGGTATAAAATTGCTCATCACATTATTGAATGTCTGTACAATTTCTAATGTTTTTGAGGTGTTATGTCAAGGAAAATACTTCCTTGTTGTTTATAACATTACGGTTAAAGTTGGAAGTAAATATTTTATGTAATGGTAACATTATTGATTTTCTCGAATGTTGTCATATAAATGAATAGTCTATGGTCAATTGTACAAAATTGTTATGAAACATTTAAATTTTGTTTAACATTGATACGAATTACATATTTAAGTTTAATTTAGGAATCAAGTCCGCCTTAGGTGTTCTGGCGGCAGACTCCTGCGTTACTTGAAAGACTTGAACGAGAGAGGTAGTGTCTTCATTAGGAGAATATACTTTCGGAAGTCGAAATAAAATATCCTTTATGCCGTCGATTTACAATATGTTATTAGAAATGCTTCTAGGTGTGCATGGCTGATATTCTAACTTAGTTAAAATATAAGGAAATAATACCGATCACATATATTATAGATCACTGGTCGATTGATAACTGGATCTAGCCATAGAAGAAAAGTATGAAGATATTGATAGGTAAACCGTAAGAGAAATAAGTAAAGCTAATATTAAGTTAGCCGCTTAACAATAAAACTTGTAATAATGATATCAGCAATGCCAGTTTCTTAGTGTAGATGGCAACTTTGAAAATTTATAAATACTAATAATTTTTAGCGGAAATGGCAAGAGGTTGTTCGAAACATACACAATTTTGATATTAATTAAAAAAACTACAGTAAAACACTACATAGAGGGCTGTCACAGACTGTCACTGTCAGTGTCCCCATCGATGGTTCACATTTATAAAACTTAAAAAAATATTATACTAAACAATTTAAGAATAAATTTGTATTAAATTGAAGGTCTGTTATCTAATTCTTACTGGTTTTTAATAATATATCCTTTTTCTAGAAATCTTAATAATATTAAATTCGTCACACTTGTTGTAAACAGGTCAAATAAGTAGGCTGAAAAGATGGGGCAGATTATGGGCTCGTATAATGCTCGAAATGTAGACCTTTACATGGATGATAAACCAACTTTTGATCATCAAGCTGGTTTTAACTTTGATCGGAAAGAGAGAGGTAATAATCAGTTCCCTTCAAGTTCTTTTCTATAGCAATAAATAGTCTATATTATTGAAAAATACAACCTATTACATAATGATATTTATTTAGATAAAGTGTACCTATTACTTCTATACACACGTTTTGTTCAGGATGTGTTTATTTTCAAATACTGTTTGCATTTGTAAATATTTGAAATAAAATTTATTTATTCATTATTAATACATTCCAGTTCAAAATTGATTTTATAGTCAAAATAATGTAGTTTATCTATTACATTATATACTTACTTTATATTTCCACTAAATAAAATTCCCACATTTATATTATAAATTAAATGATGTATAAATAATTGTGTTCTTTTTTTTATACTGAATAAAATTATCATTGAATGTCTCTGTTTTGCATTGTAATAAAATATTTATTTTTTAATACAGTGATGGTAGCTAAAGAAGAAGATCTGATATCGGCTAGAATTCCACCACAGAATAGGGATTACTGTGCACACTATCTGTTAGAATACCACCAGTGTCGCTATAAAAATATGCCTTTGCTGTATAAATGTGCTCATGAAAAACATCATTATTTGGAATGTCAGCACCAAGAGTAAGTTCCTTCCCAATAACTTTAATATACTTAGTTCATAGAAGAATATTCAAATAAATTTAATTTCCTTTATTCAAATAAATTTAATTTAAGTACTTTCGAATAGTTTTCACTATTTTTTAATCTACCACTCATTCGGAAAGCAGTCTCATTACAAAGAATAAGCAAGAAACTTCTGTTGCTCTTTTAAATAATCATTAAGAACCACTCTTTTGTTAGTGTCATTATTATACTCAATACACTTAATAGAGGTAAATTTACAGTTATCTTCATTATTTCTATTAAGTTCTATTCATTCAGCCAAGTTAAGAAATATCTTAAAACGCTGATATCAAATATTTCTTTACTATGAAATTAGAGGCTGTATAATTCCTATACATTTATTTTTAATTGCCTAATTGCTATATTAAGCAAAGTATAAAGGTTTTCTTAAAAATAGGTTACAACTTGAATCAACTGTATTAATTTGAAGACTTTATTCATTCTTTATTATTAGTCTGCATGTAAATTTAATAAATTTTGTATATGCAAAGTAAATATTTAGAAATTATTAAAAAATAACTTATATAGCAGTTATTTTATAATGAAAACAGATATTATTTTCTTTTAGTATGTCAAAATAAAAGTAGTTTTTTTTATTAAATATCTTGTTTTTTACAGTTATGTTTTGCGCATGAAAGAGTTTGAACGTGAGCGTCGCCTTAGACTACGAGAACAACGCCTAGTTGGTGTAGCCTAAAAATATTATTAAACTGAACAGAACATTTGTCATTATTTATCAAAGTGTAAATAGAATTAAAATTTAAGTATTTTCTTTTTTTTTCTTTAACCATATACCATCAATTGTATCCTTATTAATTTTTAAATTAGTTACATTATCCTTACACCCTTTTCTACTAATAATATAATGTTCAGTAATATTTGTATTAGCATGTAAGTGGGTACTATGTACAAATGAGTATTAATGAAATAGGATATATAACCCTCCGAAGTTGGGGGGAAGGGGATTGTTAGTAATGTGGACTAATAACCACATTGCGAGCAATGTACCATATCAGGTTGACTTCCACATGGTTCTCCCTGGAAAATTTCGCTATCAAATTCATGGCTAACTGACCTGACCTCAGACACATCTTATCATCCTCCACTGGTGCCCCCAGTAACGGTATACCCTAATACCGTTAGAGCAGGCGGGTGCACCAATTTATTATTTTATTATCGCCCTTTATTCAGACTTATTTAAGTTTTTCAAGCACCATTCCATTATTGTCCATACGAAAAAATACCCCTCTGAAGCTAATACGGTTGCATAGATGGCACTGATCAATTAAAATAGTTTTATCCGATTTGTATTATACTCATAGCACGGGTAAGGCTATCAAAGACATCAGTCACATATTTCTTATCGTAACTGTAGGTAAGACATGCTTTTGTACAGATACGTTAGTAACTAAATACAGTCATCTCGGCTGATGCTCTGTGGTATCGTTTAACAAATATTATGTGGGTACGTAGTAGATTGCAATGCAAGTCTAAATAAAAAATGTTCCAATGTATTAAGTTATTTGTATAATGTTAGTTAAATCGATAAAGTAATGATTATATATTTACCAGTAAAATTTAAAATAAATATTTAAATAATGGACACTAAGAAAAGATTTATTGCTCGCAATCTAACTATTCTTAAGACGATTGGCAAAGGAACATACGGGTAAGTACCTATAATTTACAGAGTTAAATATCCACTTACATTCAAGACTATTGTTTACAATAGAGGCAGACTGATCTGAGGAACAAAGGAATCTCTTTTAGAATGTATACTTCATCCCTTATTAATGTAGACTGGAAACATGTATATGCACTTTTTCGGAAATTCTTGATTTACCTACTTCATATAGATTCAGAATATCTTTATATACCTAGTATAAAACGACGTTGCTTCCGCTGCCTGTTCGCTTAGATCTTTTAAACTACGTAACCGATTTTAATACAATTTTTAGAATTGAGTCATTGAAAAGAAAGGGGTATAACATATGTACACCCGTGTGAAGCCGGGGCGGGTGGTATCTAATAAAATAAATTCGTACCTAGTCAATTATTGTTATTTCTACTGCCTGCTTAGAAAATAGTTCTAATCTACTTCAAGTATATGTTAAAATGATAAACTATCGATCGATTGAAGATTCCCTGTACCTACTTCTTATATGTAGGTAATTACCAATTATTTTTTTCAGAAATGTATATTTATGTGAAAATCAAATAACTACTCATTTATGTATTGTCAAAGACATTGAGTTAAACTTAAGGATTCAAGATCACATGCAGGTAATTAATTTATGTTCTAGGAAATATAATCATACGCATCCACCTACATATGTATAGCAACCGAGTCTACCTACATAGATGAACTGCTGACATATAAAGTGTTTATATCACCCATTTGCTAAAAAATATGAGTTGGTTTTCAAATAATTACAATGCGTCTATAATCATCACTATTATAAGTGATTATAATATAACGTAGTCATTACCTACTTGCTCAGTTTACAATTATGGTAAATATTTATCCTATTGAAAACTTGTTCTAGGACATCGCAAATGAAGCAAAAATTTTATCTTCATTGAATCATCCAAATATAATTAGGTTCTATGATTGTTACTACACAGATAATCATGTTATGATAAATATGGAATATGCTAGTAATGGGAATCTAGCTGAATATATGTACCAACGGTATCCGAAACTAATAAAGGAAGAAGTAAGTTATCAATATATCTATTTATATAATTATCGGTCACACGAAAACAACAATACAAACAAATCATAGCTTCTATTCATCATTCAATACTTTCGTATCGTGCCAAATAGAACCTTGGACCACTGGAATGTTTGAATACTAGTCGTTAAACTAAATAAAATTATACTAATACTGATGTAATGTCGAATAAGTCTTTATTATTATTATTATATACATCAGTTGAGTTGACTCTGAAAACAGTTAGCTTTACAATTGAAATGAAATATTCTTAATTAATTTGAATTATTTTTGTTTTTTGCGCCATGATAAAAATTATGAAAATTGATTTAGAAATCATTTCTGTTCATAAATATAAGTCCTACGTCAATGTATCAGTTATAAATATTAATGTACCTATATATTTTTCTTAGAATAGCTACTTATGACATGTATGAATTAAATATGTATGGTACGTTATGCAATGATTTTCTCTAGAACGCATGAGAATTTTTCCATCCAATGTTCCACAATAAAGGCTGGATGAGTGCAGGTCTTCCTATCAGGCACCCTCTGATCTATCCATAGGGCATAGAGCAAAGACTATACTCCGTATAGTATCTGACGAACCGTATGTATGTATGTATGGATTAGATTTTTTTATCATCCATCCTAGTTTTATCCATTGTTGAAGTAATGCGTATTACTACAACAATGGATAATAATAGAGCTGCTATTCCTCCGGGTTTTTGTTACATATAGACAGTGATATATTTTTTTACAGGAAATACTTTTCTATTTTAGCCAGATTCTACTTGGCGTTAATTACATCCATAATTTGAATATAATCCATAGAGACTTGAAAGCGGAGAATATATTATTGATGGGGAAATATGGTGTATTGGTGAAGATAGGCGATTTTGGTATTTCAAAGATGTTAGTAAGGTGAGAAGAGTACTCATAGGTAGTATAATATATTATTATCTCTATATAATATACTATAAATTTAAAGTATATCCAGATAACCTATGGGATACATAGAAAGTAAATGGTAATAATAAGTATATATATTATTTTAATCTTATTTCATTTTTAGTGCCAAGAAAACATCTACTGTCATTGGTACTCCTTACTATTTGGCACCAGAGCTATGCGAAGGCAAACCTTACGATACTAAAAGCGACGTTTGGGCTCTTGGTTGTCTATTGTATGAAATGTGCACTCACAAGAGAGCTTTTGAATCAGAGGTTGGTAGTATTATAAAACAAGTATCTTAAGGTATATTTACAAAATCACGTGTTGTGTCTAGCCAGACCCAGTCCACTCGGGACGTTTAAAAAAATATATATGTACTTAACGGAATGACAAATAAATTTAACCAGTGCCCACCTGATGGTAAGTGGCAACTGTCGTCTATACACATGAATAGAAAGGACATAATATCGTCACCAGACGGCCGTGGTATTATGCATGTCTATTCCAGAAGACGGGGGTTTCATGCTTCTGTACTTTGCAACTTATATAACAAAAATCTATTAAAAACCAATTAAGCTACAATAAAAAAAAAACTGAGTGGCTGCTAACCATAACACAGTAGCAGTAAGCGGTGCAATTTGCAACAAACACGCTGTCGGTCTTTTTTAACATAATTGAATACGATAGACTAAAAAAACTTGATCTTCATAAGCGTCTAAAATCTGCCACATGTATAAATATTTTTTAAAATGTACTTAACTGACACAGTTTGTCTGTGTGATCAGTATTAATCAGATAAAATATTAATCTACATATAGATTAATATGTAATATTTGTTGATATATAATTACAATTGATTTCAGACCCTGGTTGGTCTGGTTAAAGCTATAACTACTGGGAGTGTACATCCTATTGACTTATCGGTATATACAAGAGGTATGCAAGATCTAATAGACACTATGTTATCAATTTTACCTGACAAAAGACCTAAAATAAAGGATCTTATGGGACGGAGGACTATACTACCTATTATTTATTCAGTGTTCTTAGATGCGGGAGATGATGAATTATTATTTAAAAAAGCCAGTAAAGATTTTCTAACTAACTTATAATGTACTATGAATAAAATGATTAATAAATGTGTGGACTACGAAATAAAACAATGACATTAAAAACAATGACTTTTATTTGTCGTAAGGTCCTAATTACTTTTTTTATTTGCAATATACCAATAATATTGATATAGAATAAAGTATAGATATTTGTCTACCAATGTATGTGAATAATACATAATAGGTATCACAAATATAAAAGAATTTTTAGAATCTGTTCCCTTCTAGCGGTTGTTTAAAAGTGTAGTATCTGCACTGAAATTTAACGCCATTATAATTGCATGGCGATCTAGTAGACAATTTAAATTTGAATTACATCTTCCAATCATAACCAAGATTAAAGTACTTGTTATGCACTGCAAAGAACTAACATTTTTCAGCCATTGTGTAATCTCAGTTTGGATCATTGAAAAGGGGCCGTTCAAGTATTACGTAAGCACTATAGGGGGGCGGGGGCTCTTTTCTTTGCTTATTTTGGATGACATGGGGGTGGGGGAGTCTGTATGATGATTACGTCATCGGTCGTAATTTACTTTTTTACACGAATGGCAACCCTCACATTGTCTTTGTTAAAAAAACAATACATTCATTGAGAAATGTTTACGTAAGCATGGGGGGAGGGGTAAGAGCTTTGCTTACTTTTGCTGACAACGGGGGATGAGGGGTAAATAATTGTGATAAATCTGCTTATGTAATACTTGAACAGCCCCAAATGTGTAGTAGTCATATTCTGTTCTTACCAGCTTAGTTTATCTTAAGTATATTAATAATAGAAATAAAGAAATTAGCAAGTAGTATCTGCCTTTACAACGTAAATAAGGTGTCTGTTCTTTTTAGTTTATTATCTTTTGCGTTACTGTCCATTTGTTTGGTCCATCTCTATCTCTTCGTCATCTTCTGAAATCATAAAAATAATTATTAATGTTATTTTCAGAATATTATATATGTTGGTAAAAACTATATCAGCTCCAGAAATACCTATATTGGGAATTATATACATACCAGAAGAAACACATTCATGCAGTTTTATGGATCCATATTCTGTGATTAAATAAAATAATATTATATGTAGACATATAAAGTCAATATATATACATATATATATATATATTATATACCATCTTAATCATAATAATTAAAAATTACAAACCCATTGTAATTTCAATGGATTTTTTATATGAATAAGAGGACATATTCTTCGAATTATATTTGCGAATTGAAATATCCTGATTAGTTCGTTTATATACGACGGCTTCAATTCCATACTTCTTAGTAGAATAGTACAGTAATTTTAGTGCTATTTTGTTTTTTATGTGACTGGAGTGACATAAAAGCTCACGATCCACTTTATATATATATACGTTTGTATAGAGCATAAATAAAGAACAGCAAGGCGTCACACCATTTGAATCCTGTGGAATCCCTCGTGTGTTGTCATTTTAAAGTACTGGTAATGCCTCATACTCTGTAATTTCACTGCTATATCTAAACAACTATCCAACATTCAACTTAAACATGGCTTATAACGCAATCTGCTTGGCTGCTCAAAGAGTCGGAAGTACACATGTAAACAAAGATGTCAGTCTTTGTACAAAGTCTGACTCTAGACGATTTATGTGGTTAGCGTTGATGTGTTCGAATGTAGCTAAAATAACACATTATTCCTGGAGAAAACTCTTAAATAAAGTAAAATTAGGATTAGAATTTAATATTGACATGAACAAGCAGTAGTTCAGTTTTTGGTAAATCAATTTTAAAAGGATTAATTCTACATAATTTAAATATTACTACAGTACCCACTATAGAGAAGAATCACTTTGTTATTTATGTAACATTATAATATTACATAACTTTGGAATGAAGATATTGTTAAAGAAAGTACTACACATGAATGTGCACGGTATAAAGGCAGAGAGAGGCAGAAAAAGATATGGATGGACTGTGTGAAAAATGATATGACTAAAAAGGAAGTACAAAACGAGATGAATCCCTGCAAACAGGGATAAATGGAAGAGTAAAAATATATTATGCCAACCCCAAATAAATAGGATAAGGATGAAGCAGATGATGATAAAATGTTACAGAACTACATTTTTTTTAAATTTGCAATATTTTAGAGAATAAAACAAAATGACTTACGTTGACCATTGCTTTGTATTTGGGGTTGTAAAGGTTTTTGTCCAGGAATTTGTCCAGACTGTAACATCCTTGTCAACCTCTCAACCTCTTGAAGAGAAGATGCATTTTTGATTGCCTCCCTGATTTTGTGTATTTCTTGTGGAGTTAGGTCTGAAAATACAAATGAAACAAATTTTTGATGTTCCTATCATTACCATTTACAAGAATATAAATGGTAAATCCACCTAAGATAAACTTTGCTTAGTACTATTTATATTTAGGTCTAAATTTCCATTTGTGTGTAACTTTAAGCTACAGAATGTGTACAAAATCACAACCAGGACTGTTAATAAGGACAGTTTTGAAATAGTGTAAAATGGATTTATCAATATTAGATCTCAGAGTTTTTTTAATTTGCTATGTCTCTAAAAATCTATTATTGACAATCTCTAAAAATGTACTGTTAATTTTATTTATTGGATTCTAAGCTGTTGGTTCAATAATATAACGAAAATACAACTCTCAGTAATATAACGAAAATTATTAAAATGTATACTCACTGGTCACTTTAGGATCTGGCATATTACCACCAGGCACAAATGTTTTTGCTTTCCTTGTAATTTCTTTCTGTATTTCTTTGCCTTTTTTACTTTTGAATAAATTATTAGCCTCTTCCCTTTCTTTCTGTTTAATTTTTCTGAAGTCTAACAATCGTAATTCTGGCATTTTGTATGCTAGATATGCTCTGAAATTAATTCAAAATATAGTATATGTCATAAATATATAAATATTATAGCATCTCATTTCAAAATAATACTAGCTACTGGACAATTCTCACAATACATTTTTCTTTCAAGCTAACCAGAATTTGGTATGGGTATTACAAAATTAGTAGTAGGTAGTATTACAAAACATGTATTTTATTTTTTCAATAACATACATATACATAGAAAATAATGATGGGTACAAAAAATTGCAAATAAAGGAATTAAAGTATTCCTATATAATAGAAATAAGAAAGGAAGAAAGATTATCTTTGTTGTTTATGATAGGTACTATAATTAAAACATACTGGTTACTATATTATTACCTGTAATGCTGCTTATTTGCAACTGGATTATGCATCAGTGAGAGAGTTTTCAATTTTGGTAGAGTAGCCAGTGGATCTAAATCACCAAGTTCTGAAATATTGTTGTTAGTCAATATCAGTGTGTCCAAGTTTGGAATATATTGTTCCATATTTTCACTTATTCTCCTGCAAAAAATATTTGAGCTTAATCAGTTTATTATTTAATATTAATTTACGATGTTAGTTTATAACTATAAACCAGATTCCAGCTGAAAGCCATAAACCATTTCTAAAGAATCAAAGTAGAAAATTACAGATAATTGTTAAAACCTTTATGGTAACAAATGGTGTGAACATTTTATTAATTTAGCATGAAAATTTATAAATTTAAGTGTTTTTTGATAATTCAAGTTTTCTACTGAGGGTTTGGCTTGGTATATGCTTTATAACTAACCTAAATAGTAATCCTGTATAATTAGCATAAAGCAAAAGTTCATGTATTCATCTGTTTCTCTGCTTGCTTTTTATAAACAAAACAACATTCTGACTACAATTTCAAAAATTTCTTCTGTAAGGTTTATAGGTATAATACATGCATACAGTTATACAACCTCTTCTGTGAAATTAAAATTAAAAAGAATACTGATAAGTAAATAAAAATAAGTCTTATTACTTACACAAGTCTGTTGTTATTTAGTAATAAACATTTCAGCCGTTTAAGCAAAGGAAAGCCGTCTAGTTTCCTGATGTCATTATCAGAGAAATCAATTGTATCAAATTGATCTAAAGTAGCACCCAAGTTTTCAATTTGAGGGATTTTATAACCTGTAAAAAACAATATAGCTCATAAAAAATCTACTTGGGCTTAGTCTTATGTATCAGAGGAATTTCAAAGTTATAAACATTTGACTTATTATATTTATTAATCTGTGTAAGATTAGATACACAGATTTTTTTTATTAATTACATTTCTTTGCACTTCAATTCCCTGTAATATTATGGTCTATGTATATTAGGGCTATTCATTAGCAAATATTATTTTAATAAACGTGTTTGAGCTAAAGGTAGGACTTAAGTAATCTAGATGAGCCCCTAGTATGATACAATAGTATTGTTTTTAGCATGGTCACACTAATATTGATGTCCATGGTGTTGTTTAATTGTTACCATTACTTTCTACATGCATACTACGGTGAGTTGTTTGTCAATCTTAGAAAAAACATCATAATAAATAAACTGACGAGATACTAACCTCTAAGATCAAGTTCCCGGTCTTTACATGGGTTCATATATTGCATTGAATTTTGTATCAATTCTGTAGTGAGTTTTACCATGATTTATGTTTTAGAATTAACTGGAACTTGTATTATAACCAGGAAGAAATTATTTACGATGTCATAAATTAATTAATCGGCTTCAATTGAAATTGAAAAGTTAGATTGAAATAAATGCAAAGCTAAACGATAAACGAACGCATTGTTTTTTTTTATGAAAATGTTTTACGACTCCGGATTCCGAATACAAAACATCGCAATGTACCAGTGTGACCAGACTTAAATTCGTGATTGTGCTAAAATTGTCTATGAAATTGTGCTAATCTTTTTTACAAGTTATTGTAACATACTATTTCCAAAAAAAACTTAGATTTTATGTTGATTAATTGTACAGAGAGGACTACTTCAATTAATTGATTCAGGTTCGATTCCTCCCAAGATACAAATATTTGCATTCATAAATATGATTTTTTGTATTATGTAAGTATTTATTAAAAAATGTAATTAAGTATCAGTTGTTTCGTATCCATAACACAAGCGCTCTGCTTTCCTTAATAGTAGACGGCCCTTTTTCACTAGAATTATCATGTGTTATTATTATTGGGTATTTATTTCCTTTTGTTCTTCTTTATATATGGGTATATAATGCAATGAATATGAATCATACGTTGGTTTATATAAATTTTATTTTGTCCCTGATGTAGGCCTGCGTATATGTGTCCTTTTCATACTCTCTATCTCTGAGGCAGTACGGAACCATTTCGCTTGAGTCCCTTTTACTATTGCACCGCTAACCATAGACACGAAATTTTTTATTACGTCTCGGACAGTGCTTTGTCAGATCAGTTTCTTCCAGTTACGTTGTAAAATGAACTATTTTTCGAGATGTTCTCTAGTAACTATATAATGGGGTTTCATCAAGAACGGCTTACAGAAGTATTTTAAGGGTCGGCAAAGCGCACGTGAATTATTGGCATTTCAGGAGTCCATGGACTGCGGTAACCGTTTGCCATTCTAAACGCCGAATACCTGTTTGCCATCATCGTACTATAAAAAATTACGTATGATACAACAGTATAGTTCTTAGTACAGAATAGAATTTAATGGACACTGTTGCAGTTTTGATTCAACACAAATTAAAATATACTAAATAAATACATAGTTTAGTTGCAACTATGTATTTATTTAGTTAGTGGGATCACAAAATCGGTTTAATGGGATGATTGCCCTATGCGATTTCGTACCAATTAGGGCATTTCGAAAGAGGGTGTAGCGGTGCAAAATCTAAACGGGTTCCTTAGGATAATCATCTACCGGAATTGAATAAATACATACAGTATTTATTCAATTCCAGTACCACCACGCTAATCCTTCACTTATTCTTATTGCTATTTTATATGTTTACTAATAGTAGTACTACTACACCTACTACTACTAGGCATTACAATAGTAATATTAAAATATTTTCTCGTATGTTGACGTTACTTTTTTTATCATTAGATATTAACGGTGAGGTGCACTCTACTGCGCTTTACAATGGCGGGGCACCACAAGTGGAAGGTGATAGGATGAGCATGAAGTTAAGTCAGTTAGTCCATTGAGACTATTTATCAGGAATTAACCACGATGGATTCAAGGAGGAGCATTGGATCACAAGTTACCATTACTAATCCCGTCCTTCCTAGTAAAAATATATTGAGAATCCACCCAAACTCAGGCGAGATTTCTCTTATTGTACCTTTACTTGACCTAAGTAGGTTTGTATATACCTACTTAGGTCAAGACGAGTTTTAACAGAATAAAAAAACTGATTAGGACACGGACACCCGCGATTTTCAAGGAGGATTACATTGCGGCCTATCTGACATGGTACATCTAGGAATGGTGCCGCCACTACTCCAATTCGCACTAATCCAATTCGCTCCATTCCAGTAGTTCCTATTTTGGAGCCTTCTCCTTATCTTGGAAGTAGATGAAGATCTACTTATTGTGTTAACTCTAAGGTAGGCGTATCATTGTCTATTTTCATTGTTAGAACTTTTTTTAAGTTAAAGGTACAGAAATAATAAAACAGCTTTTAAGAGTTTTCTCCCATATCTTTTTATTCTAAATACATTAATATTTTTTAATTCAACTCAAATATTCATTTAAACTATTACAAGCTATTTTTATTTTAAACATAAATAAAGTAATGCAAATGACCAGCATTGCACACTTTTAACTTGGTATTATTAATTTATCTAGGTATTATCCAATCTTAGCGATAGTTCTCCATACTGACAAAACATTTTACACAACACTGAAACCACTTTGGCGAAAAAAAACTGACAATAATTATTAAGTAGGTAATTCTAATTCTATTGAATTGTGACATGCCATTTACAACTGCATAACAGTATTTTATTATAGGTACTGTGCCCGATAATCGAGCTATGTGCTGTGTATTTGACATGTCATATAGGCTCGTGGGTGTAAATATCGTAGTATAATCTGACATTTTATAATTCGCAAGTATTATCATAAAGTGTCAAACTATAGATTTGAGTGTCGGTCCTTAGTTTTAATATACCTATTGCAATTCATTATTAGTCTATTGAAAATACTCTTAATAGCGATCAGCACAAGTATAATTAAGTGACTGTTACACCGCGTCTTTACCAAAATACATGTCCTGCGTCCAAAATTTTAGTGGAAATACCTTTTGAAACGTTTTTACATATCTACATAAATCTTGTTTTACAACACATAGACGCTCTTTTAGACACATTTTATACAACTATTTTTGATTTAAACGCGGTGTTACATTCGAAAATTGCTTGTATGCTGGATAGATACATCATTATTTATAAGAAAAGAGACGATGCTATACTATGCCTGCATAATATCCAGGAAAGTAGGTAGGTACATTTATTAATTTGTTCACATATGAGTTACGAAGTTACGAAAGATTGGGTACATTGTTTATACACAGATCTACTGTAGTACGAACATTATTCAACACAATTTCGTTACAAATACATATACATTAGAAAACAAATTGTTCTAAGCGTAATGTCTATTATAACACACAAGTAGTTAAGCGTTTTATTTTTTTTTTCATGTCCAAATCCTATCCTATACATTCCCATTTTGAAGACATCATGGCGAAATTCTGTAATTAAATATTTTTGATCGCCGAACAAATCTTAAATTACCTACGAAAATAATGTACATTGGACCTTCATTCTCGACGCTGATGAATGCTAATGATGACTTAGAAAATACTCACGAAATAATACTCAACTAGGAAACACGATAGAAATATACCGTTTAACGAAATGTACCTAATTAATGTCCAGTTTAAAACAAAGAATACAAATATCAATTGAGTACATGAAAACATGGAGACCAGCTCAAAAGTAATAAAAACCGTATACTAATAACGATGAATAACAATGAAATGCAAAAGTAATACAGGTTATTAAGTAATATTCTATTTTAAAACAAAATTCTTTGACATCTTGTATTTATTGAATCTAATGCAGTGCCAGTTTATAAACATAACATGTATGACTATGAAACGAAATAAATATAATGGGTGGGGAATTTGGATCAGATCTGCTGCTACAAGGTCAATATAATATTAGTAATCACAAAGAGAATAGCGTGAAACAAGTAATGACTAATCATGAACAGCACAAGAGATGACTGTGAAAGTTGTGCGAAGAGAGAGTGCTTCTGTAACTATCTACTTAGTATGTACTATTGCAACACCCGGCCCGCATGCTTTTACCGTTTGCACTTATATATAACTTCTGAAAATACTTGAACTCACTCAAAAGAAAACTTAGTCGCAAACCACTCGTTTGTTAGTACTTAACTTTAATCAAACAATTCAAGCCGTTAGTTGTATACACAAAATCTTATACTTGAAAGTACAATGACTAATTTCTTTTATATTTGGGTAAACGAGAACTAGAGTAGGTACAATACGTAATTTACAAAATAATACACTATTCTAAAGAGAAAAAGTAAAGGGATCGCCAGCGATCCTCCACAAGAAATGAGGTGCTATTACCAAATCAAGTAAAGCTATCTAAGAGGATGAACATGGTAACGTGTCTTTTCACAGTAAGAGGCTGGCCGAATATTATATATTCAGAAAAAAGACACAACAACAACTCCGAAAGGCAATTTTTAAAATTTACCTTAAAATAGATTTATATTAAGGATACCTATCATGTTAATATATTTTGGTGATTAACATCATTATCGCAAACCCGTATTAAATATGAGAAAAGTGGATGATATGACAATATAAATTACCCTTTCATACCAATTAATAAGCGTTTTCAATGTCCTTACATAGCCGACCCGGTATATACGGTGTCAGCGGCTAAAACTACTTACACGACTTTAAATTTACGAACCGAATGCTATCTACTTACAGGGATATTGAACATTTCTGTGAACTTAAGAAACGACTTCCATATCTTTGGTTAGACAAAACGAAACAATAGTAAAACACTAGACAATCGAATGTTACACAGTCATTGGAGGGACATATTTAGTCGTTAGGTAACTCTAAACAACATTGCATAATAATCATATATAAATAATCATAATCGAAATGTTACGATACACCCGCAGATCGTTGCATTTCGACGTTAAGCGTCAACAAGTGTTATTATTATCCAACAAGAAATCGCGCTGCCTCGGTGGCGGCCTTGCCCAGCCTCGTGGTTCTGCGCTTTACTGCCAGAGCTTCCACCACACCTGCATCTTTTCAGAGAGTTTCTTACAGATTCCCAATAGTTTCCGTCACATTCCACCATCACCCTCTCCCTCGCATTCTTCTGAGCCTTCCCCTTCCTCTAATGTCACCTGCACGAAAAATACATTTTTAGTGTTATTGTAGTACAATCAGTATACACTAAGAGAGTATAGAGTATAAACGAAGATTAATTTAATTATCTTTCCATTGTTCAGTCAGTTAACATAAAAAACTTTTGGCATCTGTAAAACTGTTATAATAATAGTGTTACAAAAATTTGATTATTAGCAATATTTTATCTGAAACCAGTATTACCTATTATTTAATGATCATGTTTAATTGCTCTAGACTGCAAGTACAATACTGTAAGAACGTATATATGTATATAAGTTTATAAATACTTACTTGAAAGCGAATTTGTTCGGGGCGGTCATCATCAGTCAAAGAATGCGTTTGAATTGGCGCTGGTGGTGGTGACGGTGGTATCATACTTTGATAGTAGTCTCGGTTTTCTTCTAGAGTGTCCAAAATATCTTGGGCATCAGGGTGAACAAGGTCTGCCCATGTCTCCCAAAGCGGGTGCACGATGTAGTCGATAAAACCGACTTGAGATTTCTCTATTGTAGCATTATGCCTATCACACATAGGGCTAATGTCCATGCCATGCTCTCTTTCACGATCTCCTTGTTGGAAGAATTCTTCCATAAGTAACCCTACCCACCGTTTATACAAAGATAGAGGCTTTGTAGGGTTACTAAGATCGGCACAATGTACGAGATTCTCCAAAACTTGTATTCTATCTGTGTAATTGTCTAATAATAATACTCCACTTCCTGCTACTTTCTTTGTCTCGACCATAGTCTTCAAGTCTGCGAGCAGAGTCATATGCTTTGACATATCAGTTGAGAGCACCATATCTATGACCATTTTTCGGAGCGTTTGCCTTTGCTTCTTATGCAAGTTCACAAATATATCGCAACCATCATTTTGAAGTAATTTAAACGCAACGGCAAGGTGGTGATTTTCTAGTACAGACTCGTCATTATACATAAGTGCCAGCTCTGAGCTAGAGTTGACAAGGAACTGATTTGTGAGGCCAGGATGGTCTACGTCGTGAACGCAAGCTGCAAACAGTGCTGCGCATATTTCAATCGGTGTGAATACGGCATCCAGAGCTGGTGTATTGAGAAGTACATTTGTTGATTGTGTAACATCGGCAGCATGCAGAGAGTTATGGAAAGGATTATCACGAACGTAATGCTCTTCTAACGTCACAGCGAAGGCTAAGAATGTGCGTGCCGGTATTTGTAATGTGGTAAGTAGCTCTCTAGAGGTGAACGCGGCGTAAGCAACAGCAGTAAGTGGTCGTCCACATGAAAGGTCCCCGATGCGGAAAATATCAACTCCCCAACGGTCCAGATCACCTAGAAGCCGGCCAAGTTCTTCTTCATGGGGTGTTTCTACTCCATATCTTGGAACTCTCTCACCCGTAAAACTGTTGGTATGAGTTAATGTTCGCTTAACTCCAGATATCTGTGAAATAAAAATTATAACTAATTAGATTTGTCATCAATTTAATGGTTTACATTGTTGTACGTACGAGTATATAAAAAGATCTTAACCATTATATTCCTTATATTTTGTTACCTTTGAATACATTTCAGAATTTGTATTTTGTATATTGTACAGGGGGGGGGGGGGGAAGTTGGGACTATTGTTAGTAATTGGAGCCTTGTGTCCTATTTGTTACCAATGATATGTAAGTTTGACCTCCACGCGGTCCTTCCAGGAAACCTTTGTTATTAATACGCCAAGATTGCATCACTGACTATGACTAACAATGATCTTCCTCATTGTGCATTCTTTACTGGTGCCCCGTAAACCAATGCGGGTCATCTATACAGGCGGATGCACTCGATGTTCATTAAAAAAACTTACTTGTGACATGGTAGTCCCAGGACCGCTATGGCGAGGCTTTTCCTTTTTCTTGGCACGTTCAGAGCCTTCATCCACTTGCAACGAAGGTAAGTCGAGTTCTTGCTGCTTGTCTGTAAATAAACATTATAATTAGACACATTATTATGTAGAAATTATAAGCTTTCGAAAATACATTTAACGTAAAATTTGGACAACCCATAGTTTGCTAATTATTTTCCGTACGATGTTAAATATTATTTAGTACTTAGTCGGAACTTAAAAATTAGTTATATATGTACCAAAATAAACAGAGAGGCTTTCAGTTGAATCATTGAAAGGGATGACAGCGAACACAAAAAGAACAAATGATAAGTCGGACAAATATTACTTTCCTAAAATTCTCCGCCTAATTAGATAAGTAGATATTCATTAGATTACAATATCTGTTGTCGAGTTGACCTAAAAACTTTCTTCATAAATACTGATATAATTCCGATATCGATATTATTAATTCAGAGGCATTTAATCATTAGAGTGCAATGTGTGGAATACCTATTGTTCCAATGACCTAAAAACGTTTTGTAATAAATCTAAAAGCTGAACAAATAGTCTAGAAATAGGCAGGTAAGTGGCCATTATACTGGATGGTTTCGATATTTATCACTATTAAAACCATGCCAATAGGTATATGTCGAAAGAAAGTAGGTGAACATGTGACGTTGATGTGTTTGATTGATAGCAACACTTTTGGTCACTGTTCGTAGCGTGTGGATAGATAAATAATCAGTTCATATCAAGGCTTTATGCATTATTGTTTTATATGGACCAATTATATGTAATGACTTTATAAAGCCAAGGTACTTTTAAGAAATTACTATAGTTACATAGTTATAGACTTTGTTTAGATATAGTTAATAGTATATTTGAAAGAACATACAAATAGAGGTAGTGGGCTACTGCCCACAAATACAAATAGTAGATTGTAAAATTTCAGTTTCCAATTATAGAGATTTATCATTGTTTCAATGCTACAAAAACTGGGTTTTATACTGTTTGTAAGTCTATCGAAAAATAAATTATGAGAAGTAAAACATCGTCAATAGTGGACTTAATACATTTTTGTGGTGAAGACATAATAAATTCATGCATTCCTTGAATATAACTGGTAGTTTCATTTTATACGCATAGCGAATTGTTAACGATTATTATAAATTTGTTAGGCATACCAATTTCTGTATCCATAACTTTAATTAAATAATTCGAAGAAAACATTTACAAAATATCTTATTCTACTAAAAGTGTAAATTAAGGAGATATATTTATGTGTGTGTTATTTATGTTATTTGTATACACATACTTAATAATAAAACTCTCAAATACTGTTTTGTTATTCGTATTATGTATTTTTGTCTCGTCACAGTGTTATCGCTGTCAATCCGTCTGATATGTTTATCTGTGATAATAATGTGTCCTACATCAATATTCTACATTAAATAATTATCGAAAAATTAAAAAAAATAACACTAATAAATTATATTGTTTACTTTTACTGATAAATTTACCGAGGACAAGACTAATTGTTTTATCCATATACAATTACAATTACCGTATGTTAATTGTATATTATATAATATAAAATCTATATACAATATATGACAAATGTAGGTAGAATATTTTTTTAATTTGATATCAGAGAGAAAGGACCCATTTCACTGAGGAATCATTTCTCCACACTTTTATTAAGTTGTAGTTAAATAACAGTATGTATAGGTTATCACAAATTTAAAGTATACACTAACATAACTCACACTAAAATAATAATAAAGGTAATGTACTAAAATCTGTTAATAGGTTTCAGTCCCAAAAGATTTTTTGATTTATAAGTATGGCAAAAAAACTAACTATTTTGTGAACTTTCGTTGCTGTAGGAAGATGCGTAATTTATGATTTGATCATGATAAACTTCAACATCAATAAGTAATAAAATATAATGAATTAAACCTATTTATATATTTTGTGCGTCATTAATTTAATATGGTATAGACTATAACAATTTATTTAAGATTACAGTTATTGCTATAAAACGTGAGAGATGATATGGCAAATTCAGCATGAATACACATGTCAGTAGGTCGCATAAAAGTATAGATATCCAGATCCTCTTGCATGTTAACGAAGTTAATAATATTTGCATACTCATTTGTCTTATCAGTATAATAATCACAATTATAACATCATCTAATATAATAGACTTATGTATATTGTGGGTGAGAGCGAATGTAAACAAATTGATAGAAGAAGCCATGAAGTTACGAGCTACGGTTTTATAATGAATTTGTTTACAGTGGGCAGTGTACGTCAATTGCCTCGATATATTCTATAAAAAACCTGTTAATCGTCTACTACATACACAGATGTCCATAATTTCAATTGAAACCCTATGGTTTATGATAGTTAAATTATTATTATAATTGTTCCTTGTTTGCGTACATTAGTTTAACTGTCTCTCATCATACGCATTTATATCTATATTTTATTTTGGTACTCAATTTGTTCTATATCCATTTTATTACGTTTTTTGGCGACGGGTACAAGATAATCATTACTTATACAATATAACAAGCGTCATTTGAATACCAGACCTCAATTTTCTGTAGAAAAACAGTACTGTAGCGCCACAAATGCTAATCACTTACATATTCTCTAAACATCAATACATACTTTATTGATCACTGTCACCACGCACAAACAAAGAGAAATTGGTTAACATATACACAAATATATATGTTTACAAGTTTCCCTTTGTGTTTTTATCCATTATATATTTATTGTTGTTCTAATGCCTTTTGCATTTTGTTCTAATGCCATTTTCATTATTTTATGGTTTTCGTACTGTATTGTGATACATATACGTATAATCATTGCTCGTTCTACTGTATATTCTCTTGTTTCATTGTGTGTCGCGTTAATTGAATGTTTACCGAACAAATGTTTTTATTTTATTTAATAACAAACTTTTATTTCCGTCTAATTATTATATTATTAGAAACAAATAGCAATGTTTTATTATAATGATAAAAATAAAGTATTTATCATACGCGTTATTGAAATTTAAAATATTGTTACATAAAAATATTATAAATATTAAGGTATTTATAACTTCAGATGGTTATAAAAAATATGCACCTATGCAAATTCTGATAGATATTTGTGTTCCCTACGATAATATTGATCAACTTGACGTTACGATTCATACTCGTATCAAGTTGATTGTACCTAATCAGGGGTCACAGGCGATTTAAACTCTACATGTCTTATCTATTGCTGGTGTCAAGTAATAATGGTTCAATCTATATATCCAATGTAATTTGGCAGACAAGAGGCAAGACCTTCCTGCAGAACTAGTAATACATGAATAGGTCATATGTAATTTAGATGTTAATGCTTTCTTTTCTTCATGTGTAAGGAATTTTGTTCATATTTGTTGAGCTAACGCTTTTCACGAGATAGATCAGCAACTTTAGGGTTTAAGCCCGTAATTAAATTAGAGGACTAGATTTAGGATATTTATATATTATGACTTCAAAATATTAATTTTACACAACGATAGGTGTGGTTAGCTAGTTGTACTATAAATAAAGAGGAGTGATAAGGTAATTTATTTTTTTATACAATGACAGACACAAGGACGCTCCTAGTATCATGTTATGTAGTGATAATAAAATGCCAGATGGTATACCAGCAGATTAATATTGTTGTTGTCAAGTATATACGCGTGCGCTCGGGGGTCATAACCCGCTTTTTATAACCCGCAGATAAAACTATTTCTGTAATTTATTACAATGATAGTGAGATGCTGTTTGGAGATATATGTAAAGCTAATGGTCATTAAGTGAGAAAGTGTAATTGTGTTACTTTCCGGAACTTATTGTTTAGCCTTTGAGTAAGTATGACAGCAACACGATCTTGTTAAATATAATAATTTTGATAGTTCCGTATACTCGTAAATATATATTTTTTTGTTAATCGACAGGTTAACAAACATACAGGAGTCAGGAGGTTATCCATTTGAGGGTGTTTATTTGCATGTAAGAAAATTTTAGATGACATCGTAATATAAGTATTTTAGGTTAGAAATATAATACTACGAAATGTTGATCTTTTTCAAGTAAAGTTGGAACTGAGATCATAAGATATGAAATATGAGGTATTCTTATATCAAGTTATATCCAAAGTATTACCTTGTATATGTATATTGGATTGACGCTCCCTTACCCAAAATGAGTGCATTCCCCGTTACAATACGAATGCAGTGCTCATAGATGGCAAATCATCAATCTCTTCTTAATCATCATTGTATGATGTAAGTGTTATAGATTATTGAATTGTGGAGGATTACGTATTTAGAAAATATTTATTAATAATTAATTATTAATATTTATTAAATCATTTTTACCATAGATTATATGTTCGCTATTTTATATATTTTTTTTATATTCGCTTTTAATAGCACACAGTAGTTGAGTAGCACACAGGTTTTGTTATGTAGGTATTGTAATTCACTTTTATCCGCGACCTTGCTTATATTAACGTGTAGAACAAAATGATCTACGAGTAAGTATGCACAAAGTCAATTAGTCTTTCATCATTGTAACTTTTGGATAAAAATCATAATAACTAAGTATAAAATAAGTAAGTAGAAGCTTACATATTTATTATTGGAATGGAGCGTAGATCGCTAAGAATGGGTGCTTTAATTTTATTTTTATACAGACATAAAAAGTATTATTTATAGCAAAGATTTATATATCAATTTTACAATGATGTTTATGAATGATATATATAATGATATCATATCTTTAAAATTTCATAAAATAGATGAACAAGTAAATATAAGTAAGTGGATACTTCAGATAGTGTATGGGACAATTCACTTAGTAATCATAGTAGTATATTGCGCTATTACAAAACAACTGTATTACAACCCATAATAGCTGTCTAAGTAATAAGTCAATCTCACTAATTGAGCTAACAACTTCTCCAATTAATATCAGACATATAATATTATATTGACACAAATAAACTATAGCAGTTACAGGCGGAATATTCGGGCGCTGAACAAACTGGCAAACAAGTTATGTTTGGCATTAGTTAGTATTAACGGGATCGCATTTGTACGTACTACATATAATATATTATATGTAAATAATGGATACTTAAATAGCTTGAAGATTAACAGGATGACTGACTATATTACATCAAGAACGGTTCTAATTACTGTATTTTTGAAGTAAGTGGAATTAAAAATTCCGTCGTGTACAAATATCTTGACAATATTAGATTGTAAAAAGAATTGATAAAAGTTTTTTAAGAAGTCGTTTTTTAAGGAGTCGTTACGAAAGAATTCATATTATTTGGGATTATTACACAGTGTTAATCTACATTTCATAAGCAAATAATTGGCTCTAGTTTGACTCAAAATGATAAGTGCATGGACAAGTTTAGGACAATAAAATAACGTATAATCAAAAGCTTATACGCAAACAATTGTTTCATACATACTTAATTGCAACCTATTTAGAGGGCGTTGATAATACTAACATTTGGGCGGGCGGCGTCGTAGCGACGACGTATTAAGGGCTTTGACGTCATTCGACCACAGGGAATGAAGTTTTGAATTTTTTATATTGTTTGTACCCCTGTGACGCACTTCTGAGTCAGGCAATTAATAGAATGAGGCTCTATTTCTAATTATAACTTTTAGCAATAAACCTCTATCAACCGTCGTTAGTGTTTAACTAAATTTATTTTACTAATAACCCTAACTATTTTAGGTAACTACCGTAAGTTTTCCTAACTTCATATAAATATTTAAGAAAGTTAATATGATATTATTCCTGTTTTTAAATTAGAAAACCATTAATAATATTACACAGACCAGTATACATCACACATGTGTTCTTCAGTATATTATATATGTCTTACTGTATGTTATAAATAAAACATAAACATAAGACAATGACAAAAATAATTTTGTAAGCCTTTTACGTTTTATTAAAATACTGATACTTAGACTATCGTTAGAAGAGTAGAGCCCGAAGATAGAGTCTAGTTAGAATACAAAACTATAAAAAAAAAAATAAGAACGTAGCATTAATTTTGTACCAATGAAATTATCTATATTGTAGTTTATTTTGTTTGTGTGTCTTATATAAGCTGCAGCGATTTATTTAATTTATACTACATTAATACATTTTTATAGGAAAGATCAAATGACTTGGCTTTGTAAAATATTCGACACTAATTCCAAAATTAAAAACTAATCACAACAAACGCTAACAAGTGTAGAATAACAATGGTTGATAAATGTAGTGGTGTTGCATTTAGTAATAGTTAACATTTACCTTCAGGTATGTCTAGAGTCTAGAGTAATTACAATTATGTTTATTAGATTTAAAATCAGATTGCAGTGTTATTATCAGATTTATTCTTTCTTTCATAGTGGGTTATTTGTTTACTATCCTATCCTAATAAAAAACATCTCATTAGATATTATTCATTGGAATGAATCCAGAATTTCGTGTCACTGAAAATTCCGACTGGTATGTCATGATGGAAGTTCTGAATTCAAATACGCTAAGAGTAATGTGCCGTTGTAATGTTCATAACAAGAGTAATATTTGACAAAATGTCATTGTCTACCTTTTACACACAGAAGCTTCCAGCATATTTTTAAATTTTTTTAGTCTACTTATTGCTTTTTTAATTAATTCAGGGGCAGTTTTTTCACATGTGCTTCAGAATAAATAGTTTCCCTGAGAGCCTGTCTCACCTATTTCAGCTGCCAGCAACTTGCTAGGTAAGCTGTGATCTGGTATGAAGCGTAAGATATCATAGTGATATTACAGATTACGTAGGCCCGTCATGGTCTTTATAAATAACAGCACATGAAAGGTATTACTGGCATAACATATTTTGCAATGTTGTTCATGTATAGATAAGTGACGGTTACTACTACCAGCTTATCTGCCATTAGATTAAAAATACTTGAAAACATAATAAAAATACGTAAATGAGATGACTTACCCAAGAAAGTCGAGCAAATGTACTCCGAGATCTGGTTTCCGGACTTGCTCGACTCGGAGAAATGGCTCAGCTCCTTGTTCAACATCCGTTTGAACTGCAAATGCAACATTTCAATTGAATGTGCCATCCTTCCAGCACGGCGTCGTAGCCAACGGGCTGACGCGAAACGAACACTTTGTCTCTCGGCGCACACGCGCATTTCTCAAAACAGTTCACAAAAAATAATAATAGCAAAAAGAAATAAATATTAAACGAAAAATTATTCGAACACAAGTTGAAGTTACGATTATAATTTTATAAGGCGCAATAGTGGTTAAAACGTCTATTAGCTGCGAGCGCTATCGCTAAACTGAAGCTTCACGGTGAATACTTCGGTGACCTGTACTATGTTCGTATCGTCATCAGTGCTATATACAAAAATATCGTTTTCCAAGTATTGTGAACATTGGTAGGTAATCTGGATCCATTCAGTCATTCTAATTTCCTCTTACGAGGGGAAAGAGTTGCTAAAGCAATTACATGCGTGACGTAGGTACCGGATTAGTTGAATAGGAACGTCACGCGGCTCTTTCCTGATTGGATTTGTTATGTTGTAACCGAACCAAGGGGTTCTCTAAGAGGATCCATTGACACGACTGCTTCTGTCTAAATGCAATTAAAAGCAGAGGGACATACTTTTCATCAAATGGCGTCGTAACTCTATTAGAAAGATACTGTACAATATTTTTTGTGGATTATTATCCATTTTATATAGATAATGTACATAAATCTGTGATAAAACTAGAAGATAAAATTTATATTTATACCGACTGGTTTGTAATACGTCATATACGTGACAACAAGTTACAGTCGATGAATACTGCCAAATAGCTCAGTTCAATTTGTGTAGTAGTCTACGAGATCCATTACACTATATGCTACATAAGGTCATATGTATCTACATCTTACAGTGGAAACTAATAGATATAAACTAAAAAGATGTCAGAATAGTTTTGTACCATATTTAAAAAGTTCTTTTTGATGTTAAAAATGTGCTAATAGGTTTATATGTATATTGACAGAATTCTAAGTATATATGATAATATATATTTGATGATTTAACAAGCCTCTACGTATCATTTGAATTCTATTATTGAGCATATAACTCAATATACTCAATAACAAAATTCAAATGGTACGTAGAGTTGCTCAAGCCGACGCGACGCCTGAAACTCTGGTCACATAACGGTCAGTGACAATTAGTAGTGGTTCTTACATTTAATTTGGTTGATGTGTTCTTGACACAGTTTGTTATCGCTTTGGTTTGTTGGTGTGGTTATCCACTTGTTTTGGGTAGGAAGTAAATAGATTCGAGGCTTCTTTTATTTATCGCGATTACAATATAATCTTGTATTAGTTTCCAGTATATAAAATTTGACCTTAGGGATATTAATCACTTATTAAGTGATTAGTATCTCAAAGATATGGATTCATAAGATATACGCAATATGTTAAAAATGCTGTAGTACCTAATAGTATTGATAAAGTAGTTCTTAGTGACTACAACAACTTTATTATCTATGATAGCTATGGGCCTATTTCTAGATATTAAGATATTTGGCTATATTTACACTTGATCTGTTTTTGTGAAAGTAATATTCTATTTCTGTCATGCGATTGACGTGAGATAACAGTTTTTTTCCACTTCACCTTTTTGTTACGCTGTTACAATCACTAGACCAATAAATTGCTTAAAAGAATATTAAGGCATAAGGTAGGTTTTTGCGATAAAAATGTTAGTACCATAAAAAAGGTAATGTATGTTGTACATATTATAAAATATACTTGTTTGTGAGAACTTTGTACGAAGTTGTTATTAATATATTTTGATTAGGTATAAACGATATTTGGTTTGCAGATTATAAACATCTCAATGAATAGAGAAATTATATTGATTTTTAAAACATAACACTTAGTATTTTTAATTAGGTACCTACTAAGATATACTTTATTGAGTTAAAACATATAGGTTTGGATATTGGATGCAACAGAGAATTCTTTTTATCTACATATGTATGTAAGCGTATTTCAAACGATATATTCTACTTATAAAAATCAAATGATTATGGAAATACTACAAGTATAGTAATCTAACATTATGGGAAACAAAATCATTCTACTATCTATATCTGAATATCTAGTAGTAGATCCAATATATTCTATATTTTGTTATTCAAGACGAGATATTCGTTGGCGAAAAACAGCATCAAATATGTTCTATAAGAAAATAAAATTAAAATATATAATTCACTTTTTAAAACATTGTTGTCTACACGTTTACATGGTTTCACTCAACGCAGTTTTGTAAATCTGATAGTACTACTACGTAAGTAAGTGCCTTGACCAATTTTTACAGTTTAAACACTTGTTCGATCTAGTGTAGTATGCCTGAAAGAATAAATTACTTTTTATTCTTATTCAGTGTTCCGATTTCATTACAATCTATGATATATACATTCATGGCTATAATTTTAGATGAGGTACTGAGATGCACAGGTAATGTCGACGTTGCTGTGGTTGTAAAATATGACATGTCCATATTTTGCGGGATTATTATTTTAATCGAAAGTGGTAGAGGGTGACCCTACTGATCACTACAGCTTAATTTACTTTGTTATCAGTTTACGTATGTTCAAAATTGAACTCATAACCTTTGCGGTGTATAAGTTCTGAAAGGTCATGAGCGTGATTTTGTTAACCACTATACGAGTAGGTATACCCTGACTCATAGAAGCCAAAGGTCATGAGTTTAACATAATGCTGAATACAAAATGTAATATGTTGTGATATTTTTCTTAATTCTTGTTATAATTGTCGACATACTATATTGTAGGAAAGGGTCTTCATATTTCGATTAGCACCAGGCGAAGGTCCTCAGCATTTGGTCCACTCTTAATACTTGATAACTAGTCGCGACAACAGATAGTAACTATCTTTAAAGATACCAAAAAAATATCATGTTGTTTTTATGTTTTCTAAACGATATATATCTAGATTGGTCTTTATCGTGGAGAAAACAAAAAACAACGTAATATGTTAAAAGGAGATTTCAAATATTATATTCGTATTGTTATGTCTTGGATTGTTTCCAAATATTCGTGGAAGTCGAATCACTCCAATTTCATGACATATTTTGTGGAAATTAAAGTAGGAAATTAAACGACTTAGTAATTTCGTGCTTAGTTGGAAATTACAATACTCCCTACCTTCCTGTCGATTTCATTAATTCTTTTATGTGAAATATAAATTTACTCCACAAGATTTCATATATTTATATACCGTAAGATATTTGTGTCGGGCACTTATATCTGCAAACCAAACAAAGAATTTCGAAACAATTTTCACTATTATCTTTATAATAATATAATATTTAGATAATCATTATTGTACAGAAATGCTAATAACTTCATAAATAATTGCATAAAGAAAAAAAGTTTTAAATAATAATATTAAGCTCTTAATTGATAGGAATTGCTATTATTATAATATTAAATAAGATAATACGTACATAGAGTTCACAATTATCTAGTTGTACTAATTGTACTAATACCTACACCCGATCTTGACTGATAACACTAATATTAAATTCGATAAACTAGAAACTCTCTACCTAAAGTATGAGTAATACTGTATGCATTACTAATTAGGTGACTGTTCCACAATAAAAACTATACAGAATGAAAAGAACGCAAAGACCCAGTTAAAAATCATGCAACCTACTTTGCTATGGCGCCGTTTATTAGAAGCAATAGTGACAAACTTAAATGAATCAGCTTTGACCACGAAGACTATGTATGATAGAGAACATATGATTAATAAAGAGAAAATAGAAAATACTAATATAGAACAGAAAGTGATTGGTAAATTATCCATTTCTGTCATCAGTTTACACATACGAATATTGTGTAGTTAATTAATATTAATTAGTTAATTAATATAGACAATTACATTTCTAAAAGTGAGGGTAGGGTTTCAATTTATTTAAATTTCGGCTAAATCTACATTACGAACGGATGGTATATTTAATATATTACAAAAGCTTTACAACTACATGAATTAATATATTTTGATATGATATAAAAATATTTTACTTCATGATGAGCATTTAGCATGACAGTTCCGTGCTACAATAAATATAATAAAAAATGTACTTTGATAAATTGAAATTGGTTGCAAATTGCAATTGTTGATATTGGTTATTAGTAGTAGAGTTAGAAAAATAACAAGCCGTGTAATACTGAGAACCGGCATCTAATTGAGTATCAAAATGCTCTTTCGACGCAAATCGGCTTACCGGCTCCTTACATCTACTTCAGTCTAAAATGTTTATTAAATAGTGAAATTAATGAAAATTCTTGTAGGTTTCATCTTCAATAGCTTAATAAATTTTAATTTCGAAAGGTAACAAAAAATAACCGTTCATTCAGCGCAATTAATACTAATTACTTATTGTGATCTTTTTAATTGACCTTAAGGGTTTTGGTTTTTTAATACCAAAATAATTTGTACATTAAGAACACTTAGTAGTGCTATTGGCCTTTTAGATACCCACCTAAAAAGATCTAAAGGACTCGTTTTTTAAATTATTTTATATTTACGTCTTGAAATACAATAAAATTATAAGTGTAGTACTATACCAATAAGTAACACAATAATTTTAGGTTAGACAGCGGTGGGGTTCTCTGGGGTGACGTATTATGGTGATTTGTCCGTTATCGTATAGCTACCCTACCGTCTCACTGATCTAGTTACACAAGTATGACTCAGTATCAATAGACACAGTCAGAAAGTCAACACGTAAATCACTACGACATGTATCAATGACAGCATCCTATTTTACACTGTCGTCAGAGATACATTTGATGCCAAATAAGTAGTTATAGGGGAAAATTGTTGACTGTGAAATATGTAAGTCTTTGTAAGCTTATTCAGGTTGCGGCCGCCCAATTTCGATAAAATTGTTAATATATTTCCTTCCTTTGTCCCATTTTGATAAAACCGGACAGAATTTTCTTTCCATCCTTACACATTATGTTATAGTCTTATTTAGTCTCA